ACACATCCATCACCATTATGTGTGTGGCGAAGGAATATCAAGAGGTTCTATCAGTACGTTTCTCTGTGTGACTTTGACTGAGGCTTTGTGCAGCCCTGAATGTAAGTCTGCGTATCTTTGAATGTGTGAGAGAACAAGAGAATAGCAGGTTTTCAGCAATATGTGTCAGTGTAGGTGTGTGTCTGTGTGTGTGTGTGTGTGTGTGTGTGAGTGGGTTTACCTATCCTTATGGGCACATAATGTCCCCATAACGTGATAAATATCCGTTTTTTTTTCCCTTATGGGTCCAAATTCTATTTTATAAAAATCCCCATAAGGATATGTTTACCCTACATGTGTGTGTGCGTGTGTGTGTGTGCGTGTGTCTGTGTGCGTGTGTGTGTGTGTGTGTGTGTGTGGAAAACAGGCAACAGCACGATAAAGGGAAATACATCCTAAACTTCCAGGCACTATTTATTATAATCCCACAGAAGGGATTTGGTATTACGTTAGGTGTTTGTTATGCCAACAGCTTGTGTGTATGTGTCGGGTGGCCAGGTGCAGGTGGGCGGCCTCCACGTGTCCCCGGGCGCTGTGCACATCCTGTCGGAGAGCACGCTCACCATGCCAGCCATCGTCAGCATGGCGGTCGGCGGCGGCCTGCTGCTTGTCATCGTCGTGCTCGTCCTGGTGGCCTATAGGCGCAAGTCCCACGAGAACGACCTCACCCTCAAGCGGCTACAGATGCAGATGGACAACCTGGAGTCCCGGGTGGCCCTCGAGTGCAAGGAAGGTGAGGCTGGGCACTCGGGTATGGAAAATAAGAATAACCAAGGAAAAGTTTGCCGGAAGCCATATGGCTTTGCTGATTATTACAGCTCTATGAATTTTTTGGGTCTATATATGATGCAATTTTGGAGCAATTCTTAGAGTGACCGATTGGTGTTTGTCGTGCTTGGTAATACAACGAATATTAGAAATTGTTGAAAGGTGTCATGAATTCACCGAAGCAAGACGTCATTCTGTTTGTGATTCTACGTTGAGTGATTGTTGACGAGCCTTACTCAGCCTCCGAGTGTTGCCTTTGCTCTCTGTGTTTACCTCCGAAGGTTCCGGAGGATAATTGCAAGTATTTGAAATATAATTGTTTATTTAGACGAAAGTAAGCTCTCATTCATTATGATTTCCAGGGTTTCCATTTTCTGGTTGATTGTCCATCATTTCCCTGGAGCTTTCATAGGATGAAATCCTTGCCATTAGTCACATTAACGAAACACTGTAGTCTGACAAGTGCTCAAATTAAGGAAGGCAGTTATCTGATTCTATACTACAAGCTCAGTGGGTCTCAGCATCAATTCTAGTGCCAGGTTCCTTTCCCTGGTTCTGCCCAAAGACTTAATTTTGTTCCTTAGTTTGATGGTGTGTATGTGACTCGTGGTGAACCCTATAGTGGATAATTAATTCTGGAAAACAAACAGATCTTACGCATGTTCTGCAATAGTACTCAAACACTTAGCATTGATGTTAAGCCACTTGTGACACTGAAATGTGTTTAGTGTGAGACTGTGAGTTTAACCTAGTGACAGCCTGACATCTCCGATGACATCCAGACAAAGGTACGAATGGAACAGAGACAACAAGATCAAGAGTATGACCAATGTTTTACGCTTTAAACCTAGCATTTATTCCTGCGTAATTTTTCTGGTTCGTACTTTTGATTGACTCATGCCTGATTTCACAATGGACCAAATACCAAAGTGATCCTATTCAGCCAGTCACTCATTGCTGTTTTGGCAGACAGGCTCTGTGAAGCACTCAGGCGTGAAACGCTAAACGGATACATTGAAACTCTAATGATTATTTTCAAAAACACTTTGCACCCTTTCAGAAACACACCTCAAAATCAGAATGCCACTGATCGAGTGAATTCACCTCGTTCATTTTCTTTTAACCTTTCTCCCGGGAGTATGGTTTTGAAAAGCAGTATTTAGCCTTCTGCAGTTGCCACTGGTGTCGGTTGTGTGATGTTTAATAGCTTAAATATCAAGTCAGTCTCCTGATGAGAGTTTGTGTCAAAAAGATTTAATTTTTTTGTCAACATTACGGACGCTTGTCGCCCCTGTGCTGCTGTAGTATGCTGGCGTGTAACGCTGGCGTGTAACGTTTAAAGATGCAACCCGTTTAATTTGACAGAAACGACCGTGTCTTGTCTTTGACAGGGAAAACGTGTGCCCTGGGAAATGTTTTGATTAGTCCTGGCAGCAAACCATTCAGCTACTGTCCATTTTGTTGAAAGACAGCTCTAAAATCTGGGACAGAAGAACCTACGCGTACAGCAGATGAAGGGAAAAAACAGCTCAATTAAATAAAGTATTATTTGATGTGTTGAGGAACTCTGAAGAGAAAGCTTAAGGGGGAAAAATGAGGTGGAAAAATTCAATATCTAAACGGAAGACAAACACATTAACCCCTCCATTTGTTGCCCAGTTGGCCCTTATACGCCTTGACCTGTGATTAGCTAGCTGTGCAAAGTTCACAATTTATCTTGAGATAGAAGTCAAACCCATTCATTTAAATTCATGTCCAGTTTTGCTACAGCTGCCAGATGGAGAGGCCCAGGGTCACCGAGACGTTCCGCGGCCTTAACTAGTCACGCACACACATCTCATCCTCAACAGCCACACTGAATCATGCAAAGTCAAACATGAAGAGAAGGCGACACAGCTCGGGTGAATGAATGTCAACAGAGCACAGTCTTCAGAGGGCAAATAGTTGAGATTAGAGGCAGGGCATCTGATACTATCTGCCCACCATTGCCACTTTCATTTCATTCATGACTCTTTGACTTTGCTGCCCAAAGTGGGCTTGGCTCTCTGTTTCCATGGCAACAGACCACCATCAAAGACAAAGCCATCTCCTGTAATGTGGCTGAAGCAGTGAGCTGACACATGGAGCCTTGGGCACAGTGCAGGACCAAAACCTGCTATACTCACTGAGGCTGGACTGAAAAGGAGCTGTAGGCTCCCAGTTGAATCTGATTCCCGGGCAGGCGTGTTTGGCTGCGTGTGAGAGAACTGGAAGAACAAAATTCTGAATTCACATAAAAATCAGTTTACCGAAAAAAAATCGAATGCAGTGGTTTGTGTCCTTTTCAGAGTCACATTTAAGTTACAAAAATCCATGACCAGTGTATTTCCCCAACCATCTCCAGAACAAAGGGTTTATTTATTTAGAATCTGCCCAAGCTGGAGGCTCAGCAGCCATCCCATCCTAAACCATCTCCTCATCTCCTACCTACAGCCTTTGCTGAGCTGCAGACAGACATTAATGAGCTGACCAGCGACCTGGACCGCGCCGGTATCCCCTACTTGGACTACCGCACGTACGCCATGCGGGTCCTCTTCCCGGGTATCGAGGATCACCCAGTGTTGAGGGAGCTGGAGGTGAGGGGAGGACCTTCTTGTGGGCGTGTCTCCTTTTCTCCAACTGCAACCCTTCTCTGCCTTGAATTTCTAGCGTGCAAACAATGTGGCAGCAATTGCATCTGATGTTCACTTAGCTGAGACCTTGAGGTGGTAAGTCAGTGTGTCTCACGGCCCTATAGGTCTCTGGAAATGGCCAGTTGAGTGTAGAGAAGGCCCTGAAGCTCTTTGGCCAGCTTGTCAACAACAAGGTGTTCCTGCTGACGTTCATCCGCACCCTGGAAGGCCAGCGCTCCTTCTCCATGCGTGACCGCGGCAACGTGGCCTCGCTGGTGATGACGGCCCTGCAGGGCAGGCTGGAGTACGCCACCGACGTGCTCAAGCAGCTGCTCTCCGATCTCATCGAGAAGAACCTGGAGAGCAAGAACCACCCTAAGCTTCTGCTGCGGAGGTACGAGTCTCTCTGCCTCACGTGGACTTGAGTCTCAACCCTACTCACACGCTAACAGATTCAGGGGTCCCAGCACTTGACAGGAGCCCTTCATTACATAAAATTATGTGTAAAATTGGAGAAGAGTGCAAGGTAATATTGCCAACACTTTACTTAAGGTGACAGAAATACTTAGTAGTTACTACTGAAGTAAAAATCACAAGTCACAAACAAATCATGAACAAAAATGTCAATACTTAAGATGGAAGATGTTATGATTCATTAATGATGAACAAAACATGAGAGCAGTATTAAACTTGTTATTCATTTCTTGTTCCTTCAGTAGTTAAGATTTACAGAATTAACAGATTTAGTAAAAAATATAGTAACTGCTGGGGATAAATGATACGACAATTCATTGACGATGAACAAATATGGGATCAGTTTGTAACTCACACTTAATATGTGGTTAATTAATTTGTAAGTAATAGCAATATACTATACTATTTGTGTCACCTTAAGTAAAGTGTTACCGTAATATTTTATCAGTTATGCCCCTGCCTATGTGTAAATCATGTGGCTGCAAATCTAATGTCACCTATTCAGTCTGTTTCATCTGGGCACACAGCCTCTCTTAACTAAGCATGACTTTAATAAAGTGTTTGACCCAGGGAGGACAGAATGGAGTGAACAGAACATGTGTTTCAGGGGGTTTATAACAGTGAATTGAAAGGTCACAGAGATACAGGAGAAGAGATTAGGATTAATGGGTTTGTGCATAATTAACAGGCGTAGGGAATGGCTTTACAGTGACTATATCCAGAGCTGAAGCACTGTAACTTACTTCAGAAAACCAAGGAAGAGACAAAAATGGATCCTCCGGGTTTGTTTGAGTGAATATCAAAAATAGATCAAACCAAGCTTCTCCATATTCAAAGGACCAGCACAAAATAAAGGAGCAGATTTCCACACATGATTATTTGCAGAATACAGTATGTAAGTGAATTTGTTTGCACTGTACACTCACTGCTGTAATCATTTTTTAAGGTTCCATACAACGTGGTTTTATTTTTTCTGACAGGACACATTGTCTCAGACATACACATCGGTTATGCCCTGCTGTTACTTGTAGGACGGATTTCATTCTTTTCCACGATTGCACACAGTCAGTGCTCAGCCGTGTACACATGGCTGCTGTGCGTGGCCTGGCATAGAGAGAGTGTGATGGTTACTTTAGATCGGCCCAGGAAGGAGCCAGAAAGGGTCAAATGTTCTCTCCCGGCTGACTTGTGGATCCATGCAACAAAAAAAAAAAACTGATCGCCTGTGTAGGTTCTTTTCAGCGAGAATCTTAAAGGCGCTGAAGCAGCACTGTATCGAGTTAGTGGCCAGAAACAAACAAGCGGTAATAATTTCCGCTCTCGCCTTTCCTGACCCAGCTCTTGTCAGCACGCTGAAGCTGATGCACCTCCACTGCAGGGACTCCTTGCTAATTAGGGGCGAACACAGGATGCGTTAGTTTACAGCCTTTCCAAGGGATGCTGGAAAAGGACGGGGTGACAGAGCTCGCGGTTTACATCTGCGTGGGTCAGCCTGTGGGAACATGCATGGCCCTAGCAAAGACGCATGCTCAGAACCGGCCCGGACGTGGACAGGCTGCTGCAGGGACTGTTATGACACAGAAATGTGAATTATTAATCACAGCGCAGGCGTAGCTTAAGGTTGCATTAGCTGATGCTAGCTAGGAAGTCATAAAAAGCACTCTGCTCATTCATTTTTGCTTTCCGCGCATCCATTTTTTATTAGCATCTGCTAATTAACTAAATATATCACAGTGTTTTTCTGCCTAGCTGCAAAAGCCACAGACTTTACTCTCCTGCTCCTCTGCTCTGAATTAAAGAAGTTAGATGTTGCTACTTTATGTCGGAAGTGCGTTCAGAACTAGATGTTTATCCGGTAGCTGGATGGAGCCTTGGGCTGCCGTAGTATTGCAGGGAGAGGACCTTCATCCCCCGAAAGAAATCTCAGCCGACGAGGAGATAGGGTTGCCGTGGGATACCGTAGACAGCTGACGCAAGATCGCAATGGTCTGTTAGGCGTTTTTCCTCCATCAGTTGTGATGTTCTGCAACCCGTTCCATTCCCCCAAAGGTATCTAATGTTAAGTGCAGCCTGTTTTAAATTTGAGCATTAACTTGTAAAAAGAGTGTTACATGTTACGTGGGATACTGCTTTTCCGACCCTCAAATTTGCCCAAACAGAGAGCTGTTTGAAGAGCGTCTTCCCATCTGTTGCATTTTTGAGGCAATGTTTCAACATCTGGCTGAGGTCAGGAGAACATCCATCAGTGCCAGCGAAGTCCTAACTCCCACCTTCTTAAGCCCGAATTCAGCCTCTCATCCTGTTTCACTTCGGTTTGGTGTAGCTGTTCAGTGCTTGTGAGGAGCGAGTTCAGTCGGTCTTGTTCTCTGTCAAGTTTATTACCTCTCGATCACCACAATAGAAACAAGGCCACAGGACTTTATGCTGGCATTTTTAAAGTCATTACTAATGAGTCTTTCATTGATTTAGACTCTGAACGGGTGACATTATTGTGATATTTGTGAAACGTTGTCGACCTCTCTAAATGCAGACTGCTCCAGCCTGATCCTTTCAGCTTGCGTATGCCTTAGTCATGACTTGCATGACAAAGATCCTCAAGGAGGGAGCTCCAACGGAAAAAAAACAACAATAGTTTATGAAAGAGTTTCATGTATATACAAGGGTTTAGAGAGAGGGAGGGAAAGAGAAAATGAAACAGAGACTTTCCCAAGCCAGAGAGCTGTGGGGAGTCAGGTGAAATTACGGATTTTGGTTAAGGTGGCATGCTTTTGCTCTTAGAGAAATAGATGACATCAAGAATCCTTTTTCTTTGCTGCACAGATGTGACAAGGGGGTGGGGTTTTTTTGAGTAATTTCATCCCCCAGTTGGTTCTGCTGTATCGACTTTGAAGATACTGCTGTGCCACATACCACACAAAGCCCCCAGACTCAGGAGAGACTAGATGCAACCAATCGTTTGCAGCCGTCAGCATCACATGCCTTCCTGCGAGCGCGGGAGAGAGACGGAGACCGCAGAAGGTCGACGAGCTTTCTACGTAGACTCCATATAATCCGGTGGAAGGCTTCACATGAGCTTTGGGGCCCAGAGTATCGACAGGGGTTCACAGTAGCCTGTGAGCTGAAGGGCTTGTGTCTTTCTAAGAAGCCATATCCTGGAATCACCAAGGAAACAGAATCAGCTGAGGGTTTATCATGAGTTTTTGTGGGCCTTTGGTTCATTCTTGTCTGACTGCATAGAGTGATGTGTTCTGCTTTTTCTTCTCCGTGATAAACCTGTTCAGGACTCGGTGCCAGTTCTGGACCTGCTCCTTTTATCTTTTCAAAGCATCCATACCCAAACTTGTTCTGTTCTGTTCGCCATCCCAACTGGAGAGATTCTCACAGAAAAGAGTCTTTTCGTGCAGCAGGTTTTGAACTGATCCCCTCAGGCTTAGAAGCCCTTAGGCGATAAGTGAATGTTCTGCTACATTTATGCACAGACCCCATTCTTTTACATTACAGTGGCGCCCAACTACCAGTTTCACCCAACCACATGGAATATAGGTGTGATTTGATTAGCAATAACAGCTGATTCATCTGAAAAAAATAATCACTTTCAGCGCTGATTGGTGTTGCGATTGCATAATTACTGTAACTCACAATCCTCTAACAGAATAGTGAACTTGTTTGTGAAACCAAGAATAAGGGTCATAAGGGACAGCCAGGACACTCCTGCCCATTTAACCCTACAAACCTGAAGCAGAGCAGAGGTCCAGTCATTAAGGTCACTAGTGGGATTCACAGAGGTCTACTCCCTGTACAAATCAAGTAACACCACCATTCATATCTTCAAAAACATTCCAGGATATGTATGGAACATTCTTCAGGTCCATTCTACTCCTTTCTTTTCCCATGGGAATGTCTCGCGTGAGAATTGACATGGGCCTCCACAGGACTCGGGGATTATCGGAGGTTTCAGTCCTGCTGGAAAGATTCTTCTCGCTTCCCACGATCCGCGGTGTAAATCACAGGCTGGCAGCTCTCCCCTGAGTGGCGAGCAGAGGGTGTGATGCTGTGCTTTCCAGGCCTCAGCGGCGGCCCGGTGCAGCCTGCTATCTGACTGAACAGCGCTCTGGCAAGTGGGCCGGAGACAGCTGCTCTCCCCAACTGCGAATGTTCAATAATCTCGAGTGCCATTCTTTAGCCTGGCCTCAAGTTGTTCATTGTAACGTTGGAATTCTTTTGCAGTAACAAGTTTTTTTTGCCGTTTTCTTTTTGTCTTCAGATACAGTGTCAAAGCCACATCGGTATTTTATAGCCAAAAGCATCCTCGTTTAATTTATTCTTCATGCTAATAAGCAAGCTCGTCTTGTATTCTTTCCAATGCTTTTGTCCATTCTCTTGCCAAATGAGCCTCTGCTTTTGTGCTCTTTCCTCACTCGCTGCTCGTTGGATTTTTCTTTGTGTTCCGAGACAGAACATGGATTTATTCTTACTTTTAATAATGCTTGAGAGGCCTGCTCAAGTTCGGTAAGCGATCACACCAACGCCTGCACACTCACCCCCAGGCTTCCCTTGAAATCCGAACGGTAAACATAACCTAAGACTTGTGATATTTTCTTATTTCTTAGAGACCAATGTTCATAAAGAATCACAGTATTGCTCCTTGAAAATGAATGACAAGTGTGGTTCCACGTAAACTCCTCTCTCAGCAGGAGGTGGGAAGCCGTTCTAGAGTTTCTCACACTAAGTCTCATGCCGAGTGAGACGTAAGATCAATTCTTCTCTAATTCTGAGCCTATTTTTTACTCTGTGCACTAGAGAAAAAATCGTTTTGATTGCTTTAATGTCATTTTTTTCCCGCTTTGCCCCAAGTGACCTGACTCAAAACTGAAATAATGCTAGAAAATTATCCAGCTTTTAAATCTGAACGTTCTTGGCGTGAGCGTGTTTTAAATGCACAGAAGCAATCGCCACTTTTTCTCTGATCTTAATAAAACTTGAAGCCTTCGCTAGACTTTATTACAGTGTTTATAATCACCATTATAGCATTTAAATTGATCTCGTAAATTGATCGCGTGAATTGATCTTGACTGTGATTCTGGCCAGATCAAGCTTTAATGTTTTCTTTGTGGTCTTTCTGTCAGTCAAAATAATATGCAATATTAAGATGGAAGGGTTATCTGCCTGGGGTCTAGATGATGTGTAAAACGTAGCCCACAAAAATGGCGCGTTAACGCCAATGCATTTCTTTTCAGGACAGAGTCTGTGGCTGAGAAGATGCTGACAAATTGGTTTGCCTTCCTGCTTCATAGGTTCCTGAAGGTAACTGACAGTCACACTTTTAGTCTCACTGCATGTTATTCTCCGTATCTGTGGAGTCTGCGTGTTGGTTGATCTTTCTACATTATGAGGTTGCTGGATGTCGTGACTACGTATGATATCCTGTTTTCTTTATCTGTGTATCTGCGCGCGTGTTTGTGTGTGTCGATTTCCGTCTTGCTGAATGTCTATGAGCAGTACCCGGCTGTTCCGCTTACTGCTTGCCCTGCATTTCTTGCGCGTGTGTATGCATGTGTGTATAAATCCGCCTTCCCGCACCTGCCTCTCTGTCCACAGGAATGCGCCGGTGAGCCTCTCTTCATGCTCTATTGTGCCATCAAGCAGCAGATGGAGAAGGGTCCCATCGATGCCATCACGGGCGAAGCGCGGTACTCGCTCAGCGAAGACAAGCTGATCCGGCAGCAGATCGAGTACAAGACCCTGGTCAGTGCTGCCCCGCGTGCAACACGAGTGCAGATCACAGGTCAAACGGTCAAACGCTGTGCTTTCCCCGAGAGCATAGCAGCAAAGGAAAAAATATCTCAAGTCGCCGCTCTTCTCTTGTATGAATAAGAAGCTGAAATTCAAAAGGTCATTTTTTATTTGTTTGCTATCACAATGAATCAAAAGCACATTTTGTTGTTAGTATCCCACTGAGTCGCATTACTTTAAGTGTTGAGACGGTGCGGTGAGTCATTGCCTTTCGCTGGCAGTAAATGCATCAAGCCTTCATCCCACTGACATAACCAGATGTTTTGCCGCGATCTGCAGTTGAATCATCAGTAAAACTCCTTGCCCTGTTCCGGAAACCCCCATACCCATCCACACCACGATGTTCTGTCCACCACGGTTCCTAGGGTTAATGTTTGATTGTTTGTTACATACCAGCATTATCACTTTGACGAATGTTTATGTTGGTCTCCTCTGACTGGAAAGCTTCTCCCAGACCTCCCATCGCTTCCCTCCCTGTTTCTGTGCCACTTCCAGTCTGTGCTCTTCGTACTGATGACCAGTGAAGGACTTGCACCTTCCAGTGCGGCCCTCTAATTTCTCTTGGTGACGTTTTTTGCAGAGTGAGCTTGAAAATTGCACCTTGAACCCCAGGAATAACTGAAAGATAGTTTGTTTGTTTTTTTCTTCACACCAAGAGATTATTTTCTTCCATCTGTTCTTGACATTTTCCAGCTTTTTTCCCCCTCCCTTAGACTTTTCCAGATTGTTGATTCGGTAATGCCGAGGTTCTTAGCACTTTCTACAATGGTCATTTTTTTCAAATCTTGCTGACTCAGCAGGAAAACTCAGTTTTAAAAAACGTCCCAAAGCAACTGAGTGATTGGAAACACCTGTAAAACCATCTGATTGGGGGGGGGGGATGCAGTATGGTGCCTCATTCAGTAATATTGCCGACCTGCAGGTTTGCAGGTTCGAATCCTGGTGTCACGCGGTTTCTAACCGAATTACGAAGACATGCAGACTGGCATCACTGAATCTGTCAGAGAGTGTATGTGTGAGTGTGTATGATGCCTGCTTTGGACGGGCAGGGTTACACCCCTGCCCTTTGCCCTTTGCGGCCTGGGAGGGGCTCTGCACCCCCTGCAGCGACGTCCAAGTGGTTGGAAGATGGATAGAAATCCGACTCTCCCTCATATCCTTATTAGCATATCGTTTGGCGGTGGGATCTCCAGTGCTGGACAATGACATCACTCAGGCAGCCCAGCAGACAACATGGGCTTTTCAGTGTCTTGTTGGAGTTGGATGTTGGTATCTCAGCAAAGGTGTGAAATTAGATCTATTTTTTTTTTTTTTGAGAAAACAGTGCAGCTGCAGCTCTGGCCACATTAGTGGGGGGGGGAGGCATCTGTGCAGTGGTTGAGGGGGGGGAGGCATGTACGCAGTGGTTGATGGAGCTGGCGAGCTCCATTTAACGCATCTCCACCATCCTCTCTCCCAGATCCTCAACTGCGTGAATCCCGACAACGAGAACAGCCCTGAGATCCCAGTCAAGGTGCTCAACTGCGACACGGTCACACAGGTGAAGGAGAAGATCCTGGACGCCGTCTACAAGAACATGCCGTACTCGCTGAGGCCGCGCGCCATCGACATGGACCTGGGTACGACTTCATTACCTTACGTTACATCCCACTTTATTGTCGTTGCGCAAAGTGCAATTGCTCAGACAACAAAATGCATTTTGGCATCAAATCTGAAAGTGCAAAATAGTGCTAAAAACAGCCATACTGTATCCCGCGCTGATCCAGCACACCGACTCCCCGATACCTTCACTAAATCACTAACCAGCATACCAGCCAAGTCTGTAACCCATATGGAAATCTACCAACATTCACTAAACCATATGCCAGCATTGCCATCGATGAAGTAGCACACCGGTCATCACGCAGAAAAATATACATCTCAGTCCACCGACTGGTACAGTCACTGACACCTTGATACATTCATTTCCCCTCGCTTGATACCCTACTGACAGTCATCTGACAGGATCGCTCCCCCAGCAACGCAGCGCGTGGCCGACAGACTGTCGCTGTAATTACGACGATGGCAGGACCGAGTGACGCATCGCCGAGCTGAACCGGCGCCAGGCCGGCGCAGTTGCCGATGCCCCCCGCTGCCGCATGCACGGCGCCCGCGAGGTTACGTCACCAGTGCTAGACGGCTGCTCGCGCGCAGAGCGGCGAGCGGAGAGAATTATTTAACGCCGCTTTTCCCAAGCCCGTTGGCACACTCTCTGTGCCCGTTCTTTCTGTCCAGCTGAGCTCTTAATTAATTCCTCCTGATTAAGATATTAATTGAACGAGTTGCACAATTCCTGCAAACTGAATTTGCACCCTGACAGCTTGCCATACATTTTAATCCTATTAAACCAAATTAAGTTATTGCGTATATTTGTGCTGATAATCCTTAGTTTGATCGTTTGTGAAACTTTAACAAAACTGAGTACGTTTAGTAGCTGAACTGGTGCTTCAGTTCACTGTTCAAAAGTAATCATTAAACATGAATTAACAATGAACATTTTATTAATCCTTGCAAGGGGTGAAACTAAAGATATTTAGGAATACGCAATTATTTTTTAACCATTAGTTTTACATCTACCAGCGATTCAATTTAACACGGTTGAGAAAATTCGAGGTGCCCTTCAGCTCGCATTTTCAATTTTATGCAATTTGAATCAAAATCTTTTCTTTAAGTGGCTTGTTTGGTTGCACATCAGGGCCAATAAGAGCTCACTTTTGCATATACCGGCATATGTGGACCTAAGAGTGCGGTCAGGAAGCACTGCTTCGACGTCTTAATGGGCTGAGGGGCGCGGAGTCGGTGGTGACGCAGCGGCGGAGGCTCTGCCTGTGCACGTCCGGCATGGTGGACTCGCCCAGATGGAAGCTCACAGATGGACAGGCAGGCAGGCGAGCGGACAGACTCCAGCACCATCTGTCTCCGTCACCCCGACAATTCTGTTTTCTGTTCGAGTGAACCTCTGCTGACCCCACCCCACCCACATGTACACTTACAGCCTATCTCCGGCCCCCACCGGGAGAGTGTCTGTCTCACAAGCAACCCATGTGACTGCAAAACTACTAAATCCCACTTTTCTAAGCCGTTTAATAAATTCAGAGCCAGCAACAAAGCACCACAAGGTTAAATTGACTGTCCGGTCGCACAATCAAGTGGGACTGAGGAGATTAGCATGTAAGCAATGTTGGTGTAGAACCAGCAGAAGAGTTTCTGTAAAGTTAAGACAGCCACATTATCTCTGCTGGTGTTACGACAGCGCCCTCTACAGGCTTGTCAGACTGAGGAACGAGACACATGCTGATTGTCCAATCAGCACTCTTGGCATGGTGTCACATGACCTGAAGGGTCTTTTGTTGTTAATGTTACCGTGGGCATCACTGTCTGTACCGCCCCCCCCAGAGTGGCGCCAAGGCCGAGTGGCTCGTGTGGTGCTGCAGGATGAGGACATCACCACCAAAATCGAGAATGACTGGAAGAGGCTCAACACCCTCCTGCACTACCAGGTGAGGCACACCTGTCCCCGATGTCCCCCTGCTGGGTCATGTGATGCGTGTCACCCAATAAGGGACACGGTGTACAGCTCTGGCTCACAGCTACAAGACACAGAGGATGAAGTATGTCTTCAATGGGTTTTTAGGTGACAGTTTATTTCTTTTTAAATTATCCCTTTAGAAAGTGACTGATGGGTTTCCTATAGCTTCAGTTCTCACACCTATTCATTGTAAGAGTGTCTATCCTCCTTCTCCCTGTGATGTTTCATTTAAACCTTATTTTCATACGAATGCTAATACTAGCCATGGCCCCCTAAAGCATCCGACTTTATATGTTGGTTCTCAACAGCATCTTCGGTGTTCAAGCACCCCACCCCCCCTTGACTGCTAATGATGTCGTTAAGGCTTTTCCCTCTTCCTCGTGTCAGTAGTGCTTTGTGACCCCCCCCAGCCCCCGTCCCCCACCCCCCGAGAGCTTAGGCACCTGCTGGCGGCGCCGATTATCTGGAGCACCGCTGTTGGGGCTCGCGGGCGGGTCAGAGGAACACCGTAAATGTAGGGCAGTTTCTGTGCCCCGGTGTGTTTTAATCTCTCCTTTTGTACCGCCACGCAACGCCGGGGGGAGAGGGAAGGGGGGGGAGGGTAATTGGATATGCATTATTAATAAGCTGATGCGTCCGTGGGGGCATCTCTAACACACCCCAGTGGGTGTCCTTCTCCAGCCAGGCTCACACCGTTGTTCACCAGACCTTGGAGGCGTGGAGGGTCAAGCGCAAGGCCAGAGTTTTGTGGTCGCCCTAAAAGGAGCTTATTAAGATGTCCGCGCTCAGGGGTCACGACGGGAGGGGAGGTGTCTGTCAGTGCTCAGTGTCAGCTAGACGGGGGGCGGCTTGGATTGCCGGGTGTCTTAGCTACCTCTCACCAGCCGGAGAGGGCTGCGGTTCTGTGCGGAGCGGCTGGCTGTCTTTACGTTTGCGTTTACGATAACGTTATTAGTGCTCCTACTCTAACGCGCCCGGCGTGCGCTGGCTCCCCGGGTCCATCGGCGCTCCTGGCCGCCACCCCCATCGCAAATTTAAAAGAGCAAGTGCCGGCGGGAGAGGCGGAATGTTCCAGACTGGCATGCGGTGCTCAGGAGGAGAAAAAAAGTGAAACAAGAGGAAAAATCACCCCGCTGCCGGATGCGGCATCCAGGCGTTCCACCTCCTTCCTGCAGGCTGCTGGCCAGCCGCGCTGTACGCCTCCCCAAGGGGTGGGGGGCAGGGGCGTGGTCCTGGCACTGGGGGAACCAAATGGCACTCTTGTGGTGGGACAGCAGCCATCAGATTTATTTGCAGGAGCTGAGCGGAAATGACGGCTTGTGTTTTCCTCGCAGGTATCAGACCGCTCCATGGTTGCCCTAGTCCCCAAGCAGACCTCGTCCTACAACATTCCCGCCTCGGCGGGCGTGTCTCGCACCATCAGCCGATACGGTGAGACATCTCAGCATTGATTATTGGCAACTCATCTCAGAAGCTGGGATGTTTTAAACTCCTCAGCTGGTAAATGTATCATTCAGACCAGCTTAGATCAGGCAGGAACGTACATCTGAGAGTTCATTTCCGATATCGGGGTTTGGGGGATGGCTGCACAAGTACAACATTTCAGCTATTGTGCATTATATTGGGTCGGCAGCTGTGCAAACCTGATATTTTACACATGGTGAAGTTCCCAGCAAAAGCAAATTGTGAAGCAGAACATCTCTCCTTCAACCCCCCCCCCCCCCACACACACACACACACACACCCACCCAGGGGGAAAAGGAAGTGTCTCACTTGTGATATGTTTTTCCTCGCTGTCACATTCGCCTCGGTGCAGTGGAGTTAATCGGTGGCTGTTCCAGTGGAAAGACATGAGGAAGGGGGCAGAATGAGGTGGGGGTGGGGGGGGGCAGTCAAGCTATGTAAGGAGGTGGGGAAAATGAGATTAATTAGGCAGGAAGGCATGCGCAGGCTGACACGGATCCTCACCGATGTTAATGTGCCTGCTCACAAGGGTCAGATAATATTTACCAGAGTAATGAAGAAAAACCAGCAATAAAATGATAGTAGTGGTACAGTAATAATAATGATTTAATTATAAATAGCCTGTAGCAATTTTACAGTTTTGAAGTCAAGCGCCTTACCCACTATGTTAAATAGGAAGGGATTGTACATGCAAGAATTATCTCTCCGAAATGTAAAAAGTTACCTTTTAAGAATCTTAACTAATTAATGCAGTTTAGTATGGTTCAGGTACATTGCCAGCCAGTTGACGCTGGGATTTGGCAATGGTGATCACTCAAAAGCGCCACCTAGAGGCCACCCAGGTATCCGTGGGCTGGCCGCCAAAGTCGGTGCGAGACTGGCTGCTGCTTCGTGTGCCGCTAGCTCTCCCGCGCGGCGTCGCGCGGCCGCCGGCGTGAAGCAGAAAGCAAGCTGGCGGGGGTGTGAATCAACCGAGCGGACGCCAGCCGACTTGGAACGCAAGAGGCGGGTGCGGGGCAGTTCTTTAATGGAGGATTAGCATCGCCCAAATTATGCAGGAGAAAAGGGGAAAAAAATAACACACAATAAGGCATTGCTGTGGAGGATTATGTCCTGGGAATGATGGGAAATTAACTCCTTCCTGCCGCCCCCCCCGCCCAGATTCTGCTTTCCGCTACACTTCGGGAAGTCCGGACAGCCTGCGTTCCCGCGCCCCCATGATCACGCCCGACCTGGAGAGCGGCGTCAAGGTCTGGCACCTGGTGAAAAACCACGAGCACGGCGACCAGAAAGAGGGCGACCGCGGCAGCAAGATGGTGTCCGAGATCTACCTGACCAGACTGCTGGCCACAAAGGTACCAACCCCCAAAAGGCGGCGGGGGGGGGGGCGGGGGGGGGGGGGGGCTGCAAAGGGGGGGGGGGGGGGGGGGGGGGGGGCGGGGGGGGGGGGGGGCAGTTTGGTGAGAATAGAACATGGGCCATATCGCTGTACCCTGGCGCAGTCGCAGAACGACAAACAGGGGGGGGGGGGGGGGGGACACACACCACGTTTGAGGAGAGCTATGTAAGACAGACAAGTTCTCCCGTTTAGACAGAATTTTGTTTTCACTCTCGGCTTGCAGATAGAGCATAAAAAGCCCGCTCTGTCGATTCGATGCCCGAGTATGTTGCCCTCTCCTCGCTGAAGCCACAAAGCTGTCGTTTGTATTCATTTCTCAACCCTAGCTTATTAATCCTGTAATAAATTCACCTGCACATTCCACCTGGATCTGTCCGCCGCCCTCACTGAAGATAACCAGACAAACACGTATGATTTTCCACACTCCGTTGGCAACAGACATCTCCTGGGGCAGGACGACGGGGCAGAATGAATGAGCTCACATATGCCTCCCCCAACAGGGCACCCTGCAGAAGTTTGTGGACGACCTGTTTGAGACCCTCTTCAGCACGGCGCACCGAGGCAGCACCCTCCCGCTCGCCATCAAGTACATGTTCGACTTCCTGGACGAGCAGGCCGACAGGCACGGCATCCACGACACGGATGTGCGTCACACGTGGAAGAGCAACTGGTGAGCTCCCCCTGCAGGCAAGCTGCGGAAACAGCTGCTCCCATCGGGCAGAGTATCAACCATGAACCCTTGTAAAAACAAAGCAAGTGTTTCTCCAGTACAGGAAGCCTAACATATTCCTCATGGTTTCTTTCTCCATGTACAATGTATCTATCTCTTATTGTATCGATTAGCATTCGATTAAGATGCTTGTCTGTAACATAGCGTATAGTAAAATCTACCTTCTGTCCTTTCCATACGTCCTTCCATTCTTTTTCTACTGTGTATCCAGTCCAGTGTTACCAAGGGAGCTTATTTTCGGTCACAAAGGGCAATGGTGCATCGCAGAGCGCACACATATTCTGGGCAATTTTGAGATGCCAGTTAATCTAAGTGCAGGTCTTTTGACTGAGGACTCTACACAGGGAGAACGTGCAAACTCTACCTATAGAGTAGAGTTGGGATTCGAACCCCAACCATGAATCTGTGATAGAACATTGCCACCAATAATCGCTTTTTGCTTTGGGTCAGTTATGGGCTATCAAGCTATGCTATGATGAAGTTTTCTGGGTCTGAGATATCACTCTGAAGTTTGTAACTCCAAGGCTTTTCCCAACCCCCGCCCCCCAGCCTGCCTCTTCGTTTCTGGGTAAACGTCATCAAGAATCCACAGTTCGTCTTCGACATCCACAAGAGCAGCATCACGGACGCCTGTCTCTCCGTGGTGGCCCAGACCTTCATGGACTCCTGCTCCACCTCTGAGCACCGACTCGGCAAGGACTCACCCTCCAACAAGCTGCTCTACGCCAAGGACATCCCCAACTACAAGAGCTGGGTGGAGAGGTAACTTCTGCAGGGGGATGATTCGGCTTCACAATGATTTGGCTTCACATACCTGCCTCTAATAATCAGCAGGTTTCCCACTGTGTCCTGATACCCAACCAGAAACTTTCATCCATCCGGCTAACCAATACAGAGTCACAGTGAGCCTGGTGCCTATGGCAGTAAGGACAGGGCACCGACTGGGCACGTCAGGGGCAGGATGCCAGTCTGTCACACAGCACGCACTCGCATGCACTTAATCTCTCATCATGTGACACCCGGTCAGCTACCTTCATTGAAGGAAACCAGAGCAGCCAGTAGAAAACATGCAAACCCCACTCACAGGGCCGGGGAGGGATCTGAACTGTGAGTTAATTGTGAAGTCACAGTGATGCCCACTGAGCCACCACAGCGTTCGTACAGTACTGTGCATAAGTCGTAGGCAGTGAAAGAAAATATTTAAGGATGCTTATCTGGGTAGTAAGTGTATATCTGTTCATGAACAAAACAGTTTAAGAACATATGCAAATTGAAAGTAATAAAAGAGTAAGAATTTCTTTTGTTCTCCAAAAAGTAGCTGATATGGTGTTGGGTGGTTATAAGAGCCCTGCTTCAATTCCCGAACTCCCCCTCAAGGGGCACCCCAGCCATTAAACCACAAGCTCAATTAATTAATTCACTTAATTCATTAAATAACTCAATTAGGTATTTATTAGCCAAGCAAGGTCGGGTAGTGGCCAAGTCAAAAATACCTTGCTGAGGCCGTGGGGCTCCTGGCTCGTGCTCACCGGTGGGGGGCGTCCAGGGCTTCCCCCCTTGGCCTCCGGTGGCGGGGGGCCCGGGTGCCTGGCCGCTGTGGGGTGGCCGGGTCCATGATCGCTCGGGGCTCTGCTGGCCATCTGGGGGGCCCGGGGGCGGCGTGGTTGTGGCCTCGCACACTCATTGGGAATCATTCCATGTTAACCTGCACACTCATACATACACTCACAGCACACAAACATACACACATGCACACACACACACACACACACACAAGATAGCTCAGGGCCTTCTTGCCCTATGTCAGGGGTATTCAACTAAAATTTAAAGAGGTCCAGTTAGAGAAAATTCGGAATATCATAGTGCCTAACTATTTAGTGTAATATATATTTAAGTAGCCTATTAGTTGCATCAACATTGCATTTAATCAGTACCTGACTGTCAAATCAAATTAATTCAGTACAATTGAAAAACGTTTTGACAATATTTATTGTCACGTGACACAGAACTTCGGCCAGCTGGCTGGAGTGAGATGGTCAGTTCGAGATGTCTGCACACATGTAACAGTTCTTACCTTGTAAATAGTCTGCTTCTGTATTTAACCGTGTAAATACACCTTTGACATAGCTAATTTTAGGTGTTATAATGGAATAATATAGATTTGCCGTAAGATTTCCAGCGTGCGTCTGAAAACGTGTATCATGCCAGATGCTTGAGATTTGGCAGCAATGAAAACGTACATTTTTGTTTCACCTGAGTTTATTTATATAACAGATAACATTATTTTATACATATGTTAAAAAGCAGAAACTTCAACGAACATGAAATCAACAATAAACTACGTCTATTTATCCAACATGTTATATAATACATAATGTATTTAAAAACTTTTCAGCTGTATGATTTCAGGACAGACCAGTCACTCTGTTAGGAACATTACGGCTTTTTGGTTGCGGGTTTTAGCTTCGCTGCTGCTATTAACACTAATGGCACATTAGCGCAGACAAAGGGCTGCAGAAGACGAACTACGTCTAGCTTGGCGGTTAGAGGTGTTTGACGTTCATTGGCGTGGGAAACGGCGGTTCTACTGCTAAACCACTACCGAAAAAACCACAAAAGCTGCGCCGGATAAAATAGAAGCGTCAGGTTTTAAATAATAACTTAATGTTTTGACTGTCGGTCCGGGTCTGTATAGGACAGCCTCTGGGTCCGAACCCGGACCGCGGTCCGCCTGTTAGTGACCTCTGCCCTATGTTATCCCTCTCTCTCCTTCTTGTGTGTGTGTGTGTGTGTGTGTGTGGCCCCCATCCTTTCTTCTCAGATGCAGATACTGGTGCGGCGACATCCAGACTGTGTTCCTGTTGGTCTGCTTATGTATTTTTTTCTTTGGTATTAATGTATTTAATTCCAGAAGCAGATACTGGCACAAGCTTATTCTCTGTCATAATGGTACCACTGGTTTCTTTGTATGTATACTGTTTGTGTGGCACCTGGATCTTATTTGTCAGATACAGCAGCTGATGTGATGACACAATGTCCAGCACTAAGATGCAGAAGCTGTCCTTTTGTTACTTCTGCTCTACTTTTTCTTAAGTTGTCACATATTATTTTTCTTTCCCTGTTTTTCTCTCTCTATCTGACCCCTCCATTTCTTTTTTTTCTTCTTCTTCTTTCTTCTGTCGCTTTTCTCTTTCTCTCCTTTTCCCTCTCCTCTTTCTCTCCCTCCTCTCTTCCTCTCTTTATCGCTCCTATTTCAGTTAACTTCCCCTGTCGGCTCCGGCTTAATGGCGCAATAATCTAAAACGGTGAATGAAGAGTATATCTCAAGTAACAAGAGGAGCTTAATCCGAAGCTCCACTTGGCAAAATAAAAGTGTTGGCACAATAAAGCACCCAGACTAACATCCTGCTTGCTAAACTGCCGGACATGACAGGGGTTGGGAAAAAATAAAAAATAAAAAAAATTAATAAATACCTTGGTGTTTTAGATGGTTGCTGCAAACACTGGGTTGATTTTTTTTTTAAAGGGCTAAGCTGACACACTTTGACGGGAATAATACCGTAGTTTTGCACCAAAATTAAGATCATTTAAACAGAATTTTCTTTAACTGCCTGAGACCTTTGCACAGTACTGTGTGTAGTTTATGCAAAATAAACATGATTGGTCGATTTTACAGCTGCATGTGGCTGCCTCCCTGCTCCAGGTACTATGCAGATATCCACCGTCTGCCGGCGATCAGCGACCAGGACATGAACGCCTACCTGGCGGAGCAGGCCCGCCTGCACTCAGCCGAGTTCAACATGCTGAGCGCGCTCAACGAGATCTTCTCCTACGTCAGCAAGTACAGCCAGGAGGTGAGCAGCACTGCCGGGCCGCAGCGAACGCCCCCCACCACCACGGGGAAAACAGACCACCCGCTGGGACGGAGCCATCAAAGCCCTTCAGAACAATGGACATCAATCAATTCAAAACTCAATGAATTCATGATTCATCAGGCAATTCGCAGGCTGCAGTTTGATGCATCCTGACAGGTTTAACTCATTGTGAAGGATTTTGTGAGGAGTTCACTAGTAACTGTAGTAGTAATTTTAATAATACTGATTTTGTGCCCTTGTTTTTTGCCCTTATTTGTTAATTAAATTAACAGTGTTGTCATTTTTTAATCAAGCAAACATATTCTTAATTAAGCACTACTCAAGTGTCGTCAGGAAAATCGGTTAGAATTTATATGATCGCAACTCTTCAAAGGCAAAAAGGAACAAAGCCAGATTATGAAAACATATTTATCATAAACACTATAATCTATGCATTCTGAATCCTACAGCTACATAAGTTACATACACAGTATTATAATGTTATTATATGTTATGATGTTGAGGTGAAAGGTCACCCAGACCATTGATGTGCTCTTAGATTCTGACACCTGTGATTGTCAGATGTAGCCGCATGCCTCTACTTGCAGGAGCCTGCATCTATGCGTGTGCGTCTGCTAGCCCTACAGCGCATGTCTGCATGCGGATGTTCAGCGTGTGAAGCCGGTGTTGCTGATCTTCTCCCACACGCACCTTGACAGGCTCCTCCCACTTGATCAGGCCTCGCCTGTTTGACACTGGATGCAGCTCGAAAGACGTTCTCTTTATTTCCGCTAAAGCTCGCCAGTGTTTTTCCTGTATTTTCAAACTGCCCCCCCCCCCCCCGGGCTCCACCTCACGGTTTCTCCTGCTCTCCCTCCGTTGCAGATCACAGCGGCCCTGGAGCAGGATGAGCAGGCCAGGAAGCAGCGGCTGGCCTACAAGGTGGAGCAGCTGCTGGGTGCCATGGTTCAGGACAGCTGAGGGCTCGGCGACCTGGCAGCTCCCTCCCAACTCCCACCCCACCTCCCCAACATCAGAGACACCTTCTCCAATCATGGGGAAACGCAGCTGGCCTTTTCAGAAACGCATTCGTTAAAATGTACTGTTTAGAGTTTTAGTTGATTCCAGGCTGCTGCCACGCCGCTTGCGGGCATCCACAGTGCCGTGCAGTTACTATGGAGACCGGCTGGAGGGCGGAGAAATGGTGGAAAGCGGGGGATTGGCCAGGTGTTACTTCCTATTTTCCAGCACAGATTTTGTGAGTCAGGCTTCTGTCTTTGAACCTGGATCCTGGCAGGATGGACAGCTGTGATTGGCCACCTGGCATCAGTGGACAGGAGAGAGCCGTATGGTCGGGTTTAGTGCATTCTGGAGTTTTTATTTATTTTTTCACTTCTAATTTATTCCCATCGGTTGGGTTTCTTGTTAGTGGGTTAAGCGGCTACTGCATGTTTTTTTTTTGGTTCTTCTAAAGAGTGAACAGTGTTGCTAATGCAGCCATAGGTTGGAGGATATTACCACCGAAAAGTGAAAACTGTTTCCTTTAATGGAATTAAAAAATAAAAACAGGAAAACTGATGGAATGAGCACCACTCTGAAAGACTAATGTGAATTCCAGAAGGGTCAGAGTTCATCGAACAATATCTGTTGTGATCATCAGGTCAACTGAATGTGTATCTTCAATATTCCAGGAGTCTTCTGCGTGGTAAATCTTGAAGATACGATTGTTGCTCTTTCACTTTCCAAAAATATGTTTTTTTTTAAATACAATATCAAAAAGAACCTTAGGATTTAGAGCTGATATGGTTTAAATACATTTGAAAGATGTTGTATTAGCCTGAGAACTGTTTAACAGCTCTGCAAGAACTTTCCAGACTTCATTGCTGGTCTGCACCAGGACATGGGCTTTGAGGGAAGGGCGTAGCCACAGCCCAGCAACCATGACCTGCAACTTTGATGCCTGGGATGAGGTGTGAAGGGAAGAGAGAGGACAGGGACCTCTCCCTCTCTGGCAGTGGTGGTGGGGCTGGGGGACCTCTTATGCTCACCCACCATGGACCACTCCCTCATGCAAGTTTCTTGGTCTGGTTTCACATGCTGCTGCCTTGAACGCTTATTCTTTGGTGCCAGTTCACAGAAAGTGAAGCAAAGAAATCCATCCATCAGCGGCTTCAGGACGGCAACAAAGGGGGCAATTTCGGGACCCCAGTTCACTTAGCTGAATATCTTTGGACTGCAGGCAGAATCCGGCGTACCCAGAGGAAACCCAAACATCGCGGGGAGAATGACAACTTTGGGGTGGAATTCGAACCCCTAAATCCAGAGGTGTGAGGGAACGTACTGAGCCACCTTGCCATAGATGAAACACATGCCAAGTGAAATACATCCTCCAATCACCCTAAAACTAAAAACTATGCCCAAGTTTGATTGAAATTTGTGCCATAGTTCGTCCAAGACAAGTCACTGCTTAATTGTCCATAATATCTTAAACTAATGATTTGAGATTATTCTGTCACAGAAGGCTTCAAGACAAGGTGGTGTGATTCGGGTGGACAATCTTCCCTTGATCACACTGCCTGCTGAACCCACAGGCTCTTTGCATTCGTGACTTCTCTGATTGAGTTTTAAGTTGGGGTGGTTTTCAGATATTGGCACAATCGCTGGACGGCATCCTTGGTCGTGATAATGCTGAGTATGTTCTGGATTTGCTCTTTGGACTGTAGATTGGGAGTTAAGATAATGAGAAAACATGAAAGGACTTCTTGCTCTGTGTTTCATCTCCGTGGCGTATCCACTTTTTTTACCCAGCCTCTGTCCAAATTCTGGTGAGAGGCAGCGGGCGGGAAATGGTTTATACCTCACCTTCATCTCATTTATACCTCGCTGCTTCCGGTTCATACACACTGGGCTATGGTGCTCAGTACCATCTGGACCAAAGCAGAACCCTAACCTTCAGTGCCAGTATTCGGAGCTGATGGACGAATCCTGGCCCATAATGGTAAATAAACACACCACACTTCGCAACACAGTGTAGGCAGGCAAACAATTAACGCCGATCGACGGTTTATTGACATCGCTGCCGGTTTCAGCTAATTGCACGCTGGGCAGCTTCTATGATTTCACGCTGATCACAGCCGAAGCTGTCAGCAGGTGTACAAATTTCTAATTTGCCAAAACACATTTAGAATGCGGTAAACTAGTTAGATAGCTTGTAAATGGTAGACAACTAGAATCTGCTGCAGGCAAAAGAATAGCCCATATCATGCTTATTAGCTGTGTTTCTGTGTTACTTCTTTGTTCATCTATGAGGTTTTTATGAAAGGTTTATGTAACATCTGAATGCAGAGTTTAATTAAACATAATTCCAGCTGACTTTACACTATTTATCCCGATAGATCAAGTACCAAGAGCCTTTCCCTCAGTGCCAAAGGTTCACAACTCTGCTACAGAGTGAGAATAGCAGAGGAAATTTACCTAATTTGTACTGTTGCATTGTAATTCTCTTGCCCACCAGCTGCTGTGCAGCGAGAGCCAGGAAATGATTGGTTGAGATTTCACCATCTGCACTCGCAACGATATGTCGAGTAAATGAAGGATGTGATTGAGTGTCCAGAAGCGCAGCTAATGTCATTACTGGACTGTGAGTTACGCTGTGCAATTCCTGACATCTGACCAAATTTCCAATGACCCGTTGAAATCTTAACGCAATCCCAACCAATTTACGTGATGTTTACGGAAGCTGGATCTGTATGCATGCAAATTTGTATCCTGGGTATGAAATCCATACGTCGTAGCTTTCGAATTGAGCATAAGGTATGAATTTGAAATAGTGCTGAATTCAGAAGCTATACATGTTTTCGAGCTTTATTGTATGAGTACATTTTAGCGCTGATTCTTTGTTGTAAGCTACCCTCACACTAGTTAAAACTGAAGCCAGGCATTAAAGCTACAGTACATTTTCTGTTAAGAAGTCTGCATGGTTTTGGTTCAGTGCAGATCTTGGGGGACCATTATTCATATTTGTCCCAACTGTTCCCTTAACAAATAAATCTTAATCTGGTTAATAAAGTTAGCATTTTCATTCAGCAGTTAATAACAATATAAGATACAGACCATTTAAGAAACATGTTAATAAAAAGATGATGCGCAATTAGTTTTGATTTTAGTTTATTTATAGACCTAAAATGACCATAGTTTCCATTTGGTTCAATTATGACATATGGTTCAGTTTCTTGTTCAGATATTTAAAAAAATTTAATAAATCTTTATTCTTTCAGCTTTTTAACTAGTACAAGGTTAACAGAAGGTCAGAATATAATTCACACCCACAAAACCTTTAGCTGTAATTTTTACTGAAACAGAAACCAGGTGTTTTCAGAGTAACTGGTAACAAAATTACACAAGAAGTAAGACCTTTCTAGGGGTAAACAGTCACATGATTTAGCTAATTAATAAGCTGTATATTGGCTCATTACAAAAAAAAAAAGTAATTAACGTAATTGATAACACAAATGATGATATTTTTACAACTCTCTGAGTTGGTCACTTTTAAATTTTATATAAATGACTTTAAAACAAAAGTATAATTTTGTATTTAAGTTCCAGAACCAATTATTGAGACGTGTCTGATGATACCCATTCCGATTATACGGATGTCTTTTTCACATACATAGATATAGGCAATAGTCATTTTTACATTAATTTCTACTTACCAGGTCTAACTGTGCTGACTTAGCAAGACTGATAAATATTTAGTTGTGCACACTTTCCCAGCTTTATTGCAGTCTTTTTGGTTTACTCGAGTTCCTTCAAGTGAATGTGGGGTGAGAAAAAACAACCATTTTGTCCTTCACTCTAGCTGGAAAACGAGGAAGGACAGTGATCACCGCCAGAGCCCTCGACACATTAATACTGGAGTATCTCTTCAAAAATACCCTGTTATTTAAGCCCATTGTTTACACTGGAGTTCTGTCATTTTGCAAAATTATATCAGTGATGATAATGATAATGAATATATTGGATGTGCATTCTTGTTTTATAAATGTGTCGTGAAAAAATGTAAGAAATTTAATGTATTTAAATGACTTGTCAATGTTTTTTTTTTCCTTCCTTGGTTGTATTTGGTTTTTACAATAATATATTATTGTGTACCTATTGTAAATATGAAGCACACCTATTTTGCAAGCTGACAATTCACTTTGTACTGTTGTTATATATGAATAAAGTTATATATGATAAAAGCACTATAGTCATATGGCTTTTAAGTCAAGGCCTTTCTAGAAGCTCCCTGTTATTCAGGGCCATTCCAGAGGCCCAGATAGGAATATACAAAAATAAATAAGGGGATAATGAAGTTCAAGCCGGTTCAACCAGCTTTCCAGTTATATTTAAATGATGCTGCCCTGAAAAACGGCAGGGCGGGCAAGATGGATGGTTATGTAATGCAGAGAATCGGGAGCCCTGGAGGTTTAGAGAGAGCCAGCCTGACTGCCTCAAGGTCTCTGCACATCGTCTCCTAGACCCCGTTCGCACATTATGCTGCATGCAAGAGTTTAACTGTTTTACTGTCTTTCGTGTGCATTTCCTGACCTTCGCCTTGCTAATATTCAGGGGCGAGAGGCAGTCAACGCTGTCAAGCCGCTAAACGCTAATGCTGGGAATCCAAGAAGTCGTGACTTTGAGAGAAACAAACGCTCTCGAAAAAGCACGCCGGCCTCTCAGCTCTGTCCCCGGGCAGAATCCGGCCCTCATTTTGGTCGGAGGAAACTCTACAAGCATAAGTAGGGACCCTCGCTAGACATTTGTACCTGTGACAAAAAAAAAAAAAAACATGTTATGCAGTGAAGATTGAATGGCTGATTGAATGGGTGCCGTCTGAAATTGCCCTTAGCTCGAGGTGAGCCAATGTGATTGCTTGATTCTTTTTGTGCTCTGGGTAATTGAAAGTATCGATTCACCGGTTCTGTTGTTTACGCTATCTGTAGCCAGGCTGAAAATGCATAACCTAGCACAGAGACGGTCTTTGCAAGTACAATGGCTCAACATGCACTGTAGTCACAGCCCTGGAAGTGAATGCATACACTTAGATCAATATATACCAGTTTTATCTGTTTGTCCTCTACAGTATGTCACTTTTGTTCTCTAGGATTTCTCTCATTCCCCAAACCAGTCATCTCCTTCTTTATGTTCGTCTGCCCTCTAACTCTCTTTCCATCTCCAGACCAACATCACCAATTTCCTTTTTAGTTTCAAAATGGCGTCCTCCGCCCCAACTGATGCCCAAAATCATATATCCAGACCACACCCTTTCATTTTCATCACCTTCATCTGCCTGCATCTGCTCCCCGGCAGCTCTCAGCTTCTCAGTTGAACCTCCAGACCCTCCCTTTTCTGTTCGCCCGCAGAGCAGCCCACCACAGTGCAGGACCCTGGGCCCCTGAGCTGGAATGCATAAACATTCAAAAACATTGTGGGACGGTGAATGGAACCAGACACAGGGATGACGTGGATGGGCACTTTGGGGATGGTAGAGGAGATGGGAAAGCAAAATGGGCGGAGGGGCAAGGAGGGTGGGCGCAGGGCTTCAGAGAGAAGACTGGGCCAGGAGATAAAACAGAACTCATGGATCATCACCTGGAATCACAGCACAGTGCTGTCAGCTTCCTTTAATGGGCCCCAGTGCAATATTTTTTTGTAGGGGGGGGCTCCTCATTTCTGGACAAATGATCATGCACGCAAACAATTCTACAAGGCCCCGACCTCAAGAACAAAAAAAGAGCTGATTCTGATGACTTTTGGGTGTATCTCCTTTGAGATTCTCTTCCAAACTGTAATTCTCCCATATATGCGATTCAATAACAGGCATGCCACCATGTCATCATTTTCTCAATGGTGAGACCCACACTCTGAGCATACCAGTATTTTGAGCTTAAACTGGACACTCTGAGTGAGACAGATTTGCCAGTCAGGTAAAGGGTATATGTATATATATTATTTGGTTTCCAGTGGTTCGTAACGCAACGTAACACGCTTCGATAATTTAAACTAATAGATCGACAGCCTCCTGGTGTACCCCGTGAAGGGGCCCCCTGACTCCCTGTGAAGGGGCCCCTGACTGCCCGTGAAGGGGTCCCCTTGCTCATCAAGAAGGAGCCCGCTCACTCCCCGTGGGGCCCCCTAACTCCCCATGGGGCTCCCTGACTCCCCGTGAAGGGGCGCCCTTACTCCCTGCGGGGCCTCCTGACTCCCCGTGGGGCCCCCTAACTCCCTGCGGGGCCTCCTGACTCCCCGTGGGGCCCCCTAACTCCCTGCGGGGCCTCCTGACTCCCCGTGGGGCCCCCTAACTCCCCGTGGGGCCCCCTGACTCCCCGTGAAGGGACCCCCTGACTCCCCGTGGGGCCCCCTAACTCCCTGCGGGGCCTCCCATATCTGTAAACCCCAGTGCCTATATTTTCTCCAGTGTTAGAGGTTCATCTCCTTCTACCCTTCTTCCCAGACTGCTCCTGCTGCACGTCTGAAGATACTCTTACACAAACAGGATGAAATGGTCCTTATCCCCCCCCCCCCACACACACACACACACACACGCGCACACACACACGCACACACACACACACATGCCAGATTTTGTTATTTCTCTCATTTGATGTGCTAAGTGGCACCAGTGGGACCACAGTGTGTCCTGTGCAGGACCGACCTCTATAACAAACCTTCTCATTGGATCTCATTAAATTCTACAAACGTATGTTCCTACCTGTTATTGTCCTCCACTGCATCACTGTCCAGTTTTTTAATTCTTAGCCCTCATTGGTCTGGGGACAGAAGGACAGCTCTGCCACTTTGGCATTCTGGTTTAACACACTAGTGCAGAAACAGAGATTGTATCACATGGGCTGGGCATTGAATTCTGAATGTCTAGTGTGGGGCAGAGAGACAAAACAATTTAATGTTACGGGTAATTAAGTACAGCTAAATGACTGAGCACGTCAGCCCACTTTAGTCAGGACTCCTTTCTTGGTTTCGATTCTCTCCGTAATGAATTTCCACTCAGTGCCCTTTGGGCCAGTTCGCTTAAATAAATGCATCAAATAACATCTGACCAGCTGGTGAAACCCGATGGGTCGATGCGTGTGTGTTTTGTTCCTGTCACCTACCCGAGTCAGACTGTGCAGGCTGCTTAATAAATACCCACAACGTCTGCCTATCCCTATCACTGCAAATCTGTTTGGAGACGTGATACAGTCTAATAAAAGCAAAAAAAAATGCAATCAAATGTAAAATGCTCTGTAATTAAATTGATACTGGGCTGTGGAAATGTTTCGGTGTTGATTACGTTTTATTTCCTGTGTCACACAGTGAGGGTTCTCACGTACGCCGCCTCTTTGGGTCTCTCTCTCTCTTCGATAATTCCCCAAACCCCATCACCCTTGCAGGACCTACTAGGAATCTCCATAGACGTAGACTCTGCACAGCAGGCTGACACATTCCAGGTACCTCGCTGTCTCGACCCACTTATATTTACATGTATGTGATGTATTTAGCAAACACGTTCATCCGAAGCAGTACACTGTCTTTTGGGGAAAGGAATATTAGGCAGTGTCTGGAGCAATTGGGGTTTATGGGCCTTGTTCATGGACCAAATGGTGAAAACATTCTGCCGACACTGGGATTCGAACCATCTACCTTCCGATCACAGGTACCACGTCCGAGCCCACTGCGCCTCATCCCTGAAAATAAACTGGGCGACTTAGAGAGACCTGTTAGCCTAACTTCATGTCTTCGGACCACAGAACGGAGCTGAAAATCCACACAACACAGGAGGAACCGGTAAATACACACACACCGCAGGGGTGGGATTTGAACCCTGTGCACTGGAGGTGCGAGGCAGGGACATGCGCTGGTCCACTGTGCCACAGGATTAATTCCTTTCTTCATCATAAGCATTTAGTTCATGTGGTTGGGCTACTCTCACGGAAAATATTCCTGAAATGCATCAATTGTAGTTTTTAGATATATAGCTTCTCAATTTTTGAAAAAAATTGGTTTTGAGGAAAGTCAGCTCAGGGTGTGTTTTTGCCTGTTTCTCCAAAGTTTGACAGTAGAGGGTAGCAATGCTAAACTGGCCAGATGTAAATCGCTGTGCCAAATCCAGTCTCACAGCCCCATCTTCTGGTCTAAAGTCTTATCATTAGGCTTTGGAGTGCTGAGCATGATGGTCCTGACCAGATGTGGAAATGAGAAGTGACAGAGGCATGCGCTCGAGAACAGAGATTTATGTCTGTTAGTGTTATACAACCATGTGGTTGAGCCTCAGCATTTGTTTACTTAAATTCCCCGTGTGAATTCTGTTGTGTGTATCTGCGCGACCTGTAACCACCCATGTTTATTAAAAGCAGGCGCAGGAGTGATGCCTAATGAAGGAGAAAGGAACAAAAACTGATAATTAAAATTTTGGTAACCCACAGACTGCAATCACGCACGCATCCCACATGCTGAGAAGGAATGTCTCTCAGAATAGACCGATCAGCCCATTGTGTGTTGTTAAAAAGCTGCATGCATGACTCTCTTTTTGTAATAGCTGATGGCCATTGGTGCTCTCTTGATAATCATAATTAATGTCATCATCCATAACAAATGATCCTATTCAGAGCCTATGGGCACAAGGCAGGGAACAACCCAGGATGGGGCACCAATCCATCACAGGGCGCAGTCACTCACACATGGGCAGTTATGGGCAATTTGGTAACTCCAATTTACTTCAGCATGTTTCCTGGACTGTGGGGGGGGGGAACCAGAGTACCTGGAGGAAACCCCACAATGACACAGGGAGAGTATGCAAACTGCATACATATGTAATCATGGCAGAGACTCGAACCCTAGTCCCAGAGGTGTAAGGCAGCAGTGCCCACTACTGCACCACTGTGCTATCATTGTCATCGTCAACCATTAACATCGCCGGCATTGGACTGGCAGGGTGATGCAGTGGTGTTACCCCTGGGATCAGGGCTCTGCCGTGGCTCCATGTGTGTGCATGTTCTCATGTGTTGTCGTATGATTTCCACTGGGTATTTCCCTCCACAGTCCAAAAATATGCTAAGGTAAATTGGAGTTTCCAAACTGTCAAAAGGTGTGACTGGTGTGTGACTGTGCCCTGCGATGGGCTGGTGACCCATCCTGGGTTGTTCCCTGCCTTGCACCCATAGCCAGTGAAATAGGCTCCAGACCCCCTGTGACCCTGAATAGGACAAGTGGGTACAGAAAATGGAGAGATGGATCATAATCATCATCTTCATAATACTCTCCTGATTTTAAATTTGAAACAGGACATCTGACAGATCCTGTCCTTGCTCTTGTGCTTTGCGCAGATGGAAATGAGCACCCCCCCTCCACCCCCCAAGTTTTCACTCCTTTAATGCACTTCCGAAGCAAGCTGTGAAACCAGATGTGAAAAAGCTTCACGTCGCTGGACCACGGCACAACCAAGCAGAGACCCATGCTGAAGCACAGCTTCACGTCGCAGGACCACGGCACAACCAAGCAGAGACCCATGCTGAAGCACAGCTTCACGTCACAGGACCACGGCACAACCAAGCAGAGACCCATGCTGAAGCACAGCTTCACGTCGCAGGACCACGGCACAACCAAGCAGAGACCCATGCTGAAGCACAGCTTCACGTCGCAGGACCACGGCACAACCAAGCAGATGTGTCTCAGTGGCCTGGGGTGGCACATTACTCCAGATCTTGGATTCCTTCAGTTGCCCTTTGGGATGTGGAGCAGGCAGAAACGCAGACCTTTCACATGTCTATCACGCTTCCACTCCCCCTGCCAGATCATACGTCAAAGGTCAGAGGTCTGGAAACACAAATGAAGTTTGCAAATTCCAGTACAGCAACAATGGGCTGGAATAAGGGCCCTTTGTCACTCCGTTTTTAAAAAAGATCAGGAAACACATTTGACTGGACCAGGTCCAATTTCTCCTCAGTTCCCCTAAGTTGAGCTGTTCCCATATGAGGCACCCACAACACTCCGCTTACTAAAATCCACTCCCAGCACGTGGTAACAGGGGGGGCTTCCTTCTGCATGGGAAATTGAAAACAGGTCTATGTGTGTTTCAGAGCGAGAGAGAGAGAGGGACGGAGTTAGGGTGCTCCTGTGTGTCTGAGACCTGCCCCTCCAGTCGAGTGTCGCTACATTTCAATTACAAAGTAAAGTATCATTTATCTCTGCTTTCTTAATTGGCTGGACGACCTGGCTGCTTCTCGCCTGTATACCTGAAACTCAGCCCTCTCTGAAAGGCTGGGGGAACCCGGCCGAGCTCCAGAGACAGCTACTGTTCCCTGCTTCCAGATTGCAGGCCGAATTCTCCTTCCCTGAAGCTGATTGTTTTTCTTTTAAATTGGAGTCTTTGAAAAGATCTGCTTCTGAAATGATCGAGGCTGGAAAGGTCTGCACATGTATACGTAGACGCCCTTGCGGGGAAAACATAAAACCAGTTATGTTTTCAAAATGAGCAAAATGAATCTGGAACTTGAGGTCAACTGCGATAAGTGTCAAGAAGAGGGGTAATTAGAATGAATGGCTGGTTAGACACAGCATTCTTGCCACCGTATCTAGCCTTAAAAATTGCTCCTGGAGTTATAAGGGGACTGAACTGGTTTGTACTCTGCACCAGCAACCACTGTTTACACAGTGGTGCTCCAGAAAGAGATCTCCCTGGGGCATCTGCTAGCACACAAACTGCAGGCGGACGCCCTCGCTCTGTGCCGTGTCTCTCGTGAAGGTGCCGCTTCTTTTATCCAGGATTTAATTAGATAGTGCAGTCAACAAATTATTTGGGGAGGAGGTCGAGATGTGTGGCCTGGAATTGGCCAGGGAGGCTCCTGTTACTCTGGCAACCACAGGTATGAAAAGGAATGTGGTACAAAATGGAAATCCTAGAGACAGGATTCCCCCCACCTCTCCCTGCCCCCACCCCCGATCCAGATGTTGGCCGGTGCTGTACTTGGGGATGCCAGAGACAGGCATTACAGCTTGGTGGGGGGGGGGGGGCAGAATGGCGAGAAGCCACATGATTCAGAGAAGAGTAAGCAAGCTTTGGGGGGGGTCTTCTGCTATGGAGCTCACACGGGTGGGGAGACTGTGTGGAAGCTTATAAACCAACTTTTATTATGGTAACATTAACAGATGATTCAGTCACAATTACTGAACAATTACAGTCATTTTATTTCATGCTGCAGCTGCCTGGGGGGGTGGAGTGGCTGTTTTTGTGTTATGGTGGTATTCCAGCTCACTTATAACTTCACTGAAATGTTTCTTATCTGCCGATTTGAGGTATTTTTTTCTCCCAAATACTGAATGATGAATTAATGAACATTACATTTATGTAGCATTTTTCAAGACACCCAAAGTGCTTTACAGAACCAAATAGGAGCCACTTCAGCCACCACCACTGTGTAGCCCCCAGCTACACCAGCCATTCTGTGCCAGTAAGCCCCCCACACAGTAACTAATGTGGTGAAGGGGCAGGAGAGAATTCACCAATTAGATAAAGGAGATGACTAGGAGGCCAGATCTGATAGGGCCACAGTGGGTAGTTTTAGCCTGGACCTCGGGGTACCAATCGTACTCTTTTGAAAGATGCCCAAGGATGAGTCATGACCTTAGAGAGTAAAGACCTCGGTTTCACAGCTCATCACAGCACAGTGCATTAATAAGTGAATTGATTACATTGTGCGGATCAACGTCAGGTTCACGGTAACTGAGTAGTACTTGTAGTTACTTGAACACTGTGTGGCTCTGTGGGTTGGGAAGGTCGCCAGTTGGAATCCTGCAGCCAGCAGAGTGATCATATCACCAGTTGGCCACTGGTCACAACCCTTGTCCCTGAAAACTGCTCCAGTGCGGCAGTTAACTAGCTGACTCTGCGCTATGAGCCCAGGACTCCGATCTTCATATGTATGTAAGTAAGCTGGGAAATGCAAAAACTGCAAGATTCCTAAGTACTCAAATGTGTGCAAATGGCAAAATGAAGCATCACTGAATAAAATTATTTTAAATTATATTAATAATATTATATATTTTATATTATAAAAACTATATAAATAACATTACTATAATTACTGCCCACTATTCTGGAGAGTTACTACAAGGCGAAGAGTCATGAAAAATTTGGAAAAAAAAATCCTCTGCTACCCATTTCCTCTCTCTCTCTCTTTCTCCCTCTCTCTCTCTCCCCTCATGCCGAAATATGAGACTCGGTTGAAGAGGTAAAATGAGCAGCGCATGAGGGGTGTGGAAAGAGGGCGACAGGCAGGGGCTATATAAAATACCCACAGCACAAGGAGCTCTTTATCCCTGTGTGTCCGTCTCACGGTACGAGGAGGGAAAAAAACACGAATTACAGACGCCCCCTCTCTGCGCCCACACATTTCCCAAACGCCAGGATGCCAGCGTTGTCTCTCGGGAGGAATGGAGACTGGATGAAGTTGGGCTTCATCTTGGTGCTGTCCATGTGGCTCTGTCACGGTGAGTGAGCAGCCTCTGGGGCTCCTCGGATCTCTAATGGGCCTTCGCGGTGGAATGTGCATGAGGTGGGTGGGTGGGGGGGTTCCAACCGACCTGTGAGATGCTCTCCCTCATCCCGCTGATGTTCATGGGAGGCGTCGCTTTAAGTCGGAGTTTGAGGGTGTGCAGGGTGGGCACGCTTATTGTGGTGGGATCGGGCGTCTCCTCTATGTGAACGTTCAGGAGCGCGTGGAGAGCGAGTGCCTGTGGAAGAACTGTGTCACGGAGGAGCCAGCCAGCAGAAAGGGCTGGAGAAGTTTATTTGCAGGCTGGATGAAGAGCAGAGTAGGAGGAGCCAAGCTGGGTGTGGACTGTACAGAGCTTCTCTGAGTCTGCCGTCGTTGCTTCAGAGGCTGGAAGTTGCTCTGCTGATTTTCGAGGGCTGGAGACCATCTCGATTCACTTACTGTATTATTTCATTTTTGCTAAGATAGGTGTATTACTAAGCAGGTGTCGGCATCAGGAGAGAGTATTTGGTGTTCAGCGGCAGTGGTGAAGTTATGAGAGGCCAGCATGCTTTGCTTTTTTGGTAAAATTTGACATAAGATTCAGTCTGAGGTTCCCTGGAATCTGTGACAGGACTGAAATGGCCCTGAGACCCAGGAAACCGAGAGAGGAACTTGTCGGGAGGCGACGCAGCCAAAGTTTGCGAAGGGAAGGAACAAACTCTGCCCCACCTAGCATACGGCAGCAACACTGGGTACATAATTACAGTGCTCGCAGCTTAGTCGCCATCTGAGGGTAGACGCGGAAAATTCCTGACCAACAGTTATTAGATTCTTTTTAACTTTAGAAACCTAATATGAATATCTCCCACTTCAATGCCTCCGACCCCGCCCTACACCATCACACAGCTCTGTCAGAGAATGCGGGGTAAGGGTGAGGTGCCCACGAATTACCCCCTTCTGCTTGCTGGGTTACTGGGTTTTGGAACACGAGTGGGGAGTATCCCTCATGAGGAACCCAATCTCGTGTCGGCACGACATTCCTCTACCTCTGACACCGTCCGTCCCTGGGGGAGGGGGAGGGGGGGCGAGGGGGTGCTGCAACATGAGATCGGTGAAAGGAATCGTTATGAAAACTGTATTGTGGTTATGGTAGGCTGCCGCGGGGGCCCCAGCTGAAACGGCCCCATGACTGTAGGTCTAAACGTTGAGCCCTTGGATGCGTAAGAGCATCAAAGACCATCCACAGAGCTCAAGGGCGGCAGCATCGCCGGTAATGTCACAATCGCACAAATCTCTTCTTACCGGTTAGCAGCTCACGGCAGATCGGAAAGCCTGAAACCATTAGCCTGTTGGTGCTCGATTCCCTGGCTGGCGCTAGACCCGTAAAGCTCGTGGTGAAAAGGTGAAGATGCCTTTGCTGACCCACGTACCTGAGAACAAGGCCCTGCTGTGGCTTCTGCTAAATAAACCATGCAAAGCTTTAGCTGACTTTTTCCCACGCTAAAGCTCTTGGGGAGTCCGTGGAGCTGCTGGAATATTTCCTACAGCGGCCGATTCAGCTGGTCATTAGTGATCATTACGACATTTCTGTTTGCTTAACTGCAGGTCCCATCTCTGGGTCACATTTAAGAGGATTGATGAAGCTCCTTTTAAACTTTGGAGTTGATTCCAAGATGAGCACCCCTGGCTCTTTAGCAGTGTGAGGTAATCAGTTGGCAGCAACCTGGGTGCGGTGGGGGGGTTGAGTCCCGTGGTGTGAGTCAGCAGGTTAAACCATTTAATTTCATGCTGCACCCACAAAGTGGAACTGAGTGGCGGTGACTCAGTCCCTGGGGAATGTGAATGACCAAAGTCAACAGAAATGGGGGTGACTCTAGCCAGTGAATCAGGAGGGTCTCAGACAAATAGCCCTGCTTGCAGGAGGCCTCAAATCATACAGGTGGTTACAGCTGTTTTTCTTAACAAAAATGTTCTGAGGACAGAAAGAAAAATGATTGGTTCAGAGAGGTAACCAATCAGATTGTAGCGGAGGTGGGTCCAAGCAACTGGGGAGGTGGGACTAACCAATCTGATGTCTTGACCACGCTTCCTCTAGTTGCTTGGCCCCAGCTGCTCAACATTGGTTGTCTCTCTGTCTGAACCAATGATTTTTCATTCTGCCCTCAGAACATATTTGTGTAAGTAAAACTCCCACGAGCGTGGTTACACACACTTGTGTATGAAAGCAATTATCCATCAGCAGCTAACAGCGCACCCAGAGGGGTGCAGATGGAGATCTGGTTCAGATCTCCTCTGGTAGAGCATTTCTAACCCACATGCAATTCCATGTGGAGATCTTCCCCGTTTCAAGATGGCGGCCTCCGCCATCAGAGTGATTTCCTGCGAACTCCCTGTGTGCCAATCACGGCGCAGCCCCAGAAGCGTATGTCCGCTAGCAACCATAGCGACCAGCATACCTTCACTGATGGCTGGACCTGCTGGTGCCGTTTAATAGCCACAGAGTGGATTTCATAAAACTAAATCAGATCCAGCAACCTGATGGAAACCTGATGGAACTCAGAAGCACTCTCCAAAACGATGATCACAAATCATGTCTGGAGTCAACACCATTATCAACATCGGCACTAATCTCTTCACACCTTATGCAGAAGAGAGTAAAAAGATAAAAAAAAAAAAACTAAACAGCTAATTAGATGATAAACAGCATCTAGTACTAAATTCATCGATCCATCTATCTTCTAACTGCTTATTCTGGTCAGGGTGACTGGCATCCCCAGAAGTGCTTACTAGTGACTAAATATTGAGGAAACACTCTGAGAATTTTATTGGCAGGTTTTGAGAACTTTTCTACTTGCAAAACCCCATGTTTCTTTGTAAAGAACATCTTTCCCAGACAATAAATCAAGCCTGTTCACCGTTCACAGAAGCGTCAGTCACCAAACAGAAGTACTGTGTAGACAGAACTGCAGTCAGCACAAAGCCCCCCCCCGAACGCCTTCCTTACAATGCTGCTGTTTCTTGTCAGAGAGCAGTGAGTTTTTTAGTTTTTACTTCCCCCTCAGGGACTATAACAGATTTAGCTTTCCCAGCCAAAACTTCTTCTGCAGGGCCTGTCCGGCTCGAGCTCCCGATAATTAAGCCTGGGCAATGACAGCAAAGTTTAGGGCCGCATTATGAACTTAACTGGAACCATAAGGTTGCTTCTCTTTCCCAGTTTTTTTTAGCCCAGTCCTATGTCACAATTGCGCATGTACATGGCTGTGCAAGTACCTGGCTGGATACTTTCTTTCTGCCTTTTTCCTCTTCATAACCTCTTCTCCTGTCACCATCAGACTGATAAAATAGAGGTCCTCTTAACTTACCCCATATGCCCTCTTTGGGTACAAAAAACTAAACGTGGGAGAAGCCTGCGACCTGTGGGAAGGGCATGGTTTCACATCCAACCCCTCCCACACCCAACCCCACCCACACCCAACCCCTCCCACACCCAACCCCTCCCACACCCAACCCCTCCCACACCCAACCTCTCCCAAACCCAACCCCTCCCACACCCACCCACACCCAACCCCACCCACATCCAACCTGGCCTACATCCAACCCCTCCCACACCCAATCTGGCCCTCTCATAACGTGAAAAGAAACGCCGATGTCCAACACATCTTCAAGCGGAGCTCAGCAAACAGCATTTAATTCATCTGAAAACCCACACACATCACAGTATGCCAGAACAGCATCCGCGAATGGAAAATCATCATCACGAGGGCGTATTTCTGCTCCACACACACAAATGGGGATAATAATACACAAGTATGTTACTAGTTTATGTATTTACAACACTATACTTTTTATCTAAACTTTTATCTATACTTATCACTGAACATTTCAGGGTCGCCGGTTCAAACCCAGCCTCAGCACGTCTGCGGGTCCTTGAGCAAGGCCCTTAACCCCCAGCTCCCTGGGCGCCCCAACAGGTGGCTGCCCATCGCAAGTTGAGGGAGGAGTAAAAAAAAAAAAGACAATTTCCCCACGAGGATCAATAACAGTATCAATTAAATCAATTAAATTATTGTCATTTTAGAGTGTACTCTTCTCACTTAATAAAAACAAAGTAGTTTACTGTAAAACAATATGCTGTGTGACTCATACTGTGTAAGTACACTCCATGGTTCGAATTACGGGGGGGCTAAGGGAGCTCGGCTAAGCTAACCCCTAACCCCCACCCAACTCTGACCTTTAACCGTAAGTAACCAAACAATACACAAGAATGCTTCTTGAATGAACTGCATGATTGACAGGCTGGTGAGGTGACATACGGTAAACCGGGTGGGATATCCAAAGAATAACAAATTGTCAAAAGAACAAGTTTCTTGTTATGCGAGTTTGAAGTAAATCTTTCAGACCCAAATCTCATACAACAGCCCTGTTATAAATAAGCACAGACTGCTATTTGTGATTTTTTTTTAAATCCTTTTGTTAACTTCTACATTTTTATACACTTGATTCTAGGCTCTGTTGAAGCTTTATCTTGTGTTTCTGCTGTTGCTATCAGGCAGGATTTCACTAGAGCGATACGAAACTGATAAAAAGCTTTCAGCATAGTAAACCTCACATGCTGAGGAATGCATACAAACCCCCCCCCCCCATGACCATCGCATCTTGCGCAATCAGTCTCATGCCAAGCCGCAGCCGCTCAAAAAATGCGATTTTAACCACGTTCGCACAAGCAACAAAATGCAATGCATATGAGATATGAGTGGGACAGAGAAAGACTATGTGATAGAACTGCTAACAAGGACCCCCCCGCCCTGAGCTGGGATGGGGTAGAGTGGGATACATTGGGGGGGGGGCCCTGCGTTTGTCTTTCTCGCCGATTGGTGGGATCAGTCAAACAAATGTTGGAAGCTGGTGAGGGTGTATAGGCAGGAGGGAGGGGGGTGCAGAGTGGGGTCGAGTGAACAAGAAACCTAAATTAAGCAGCCTGGATGAGACCATGACGCAGGGAGGAAGGGGAAGCGGATGAAAGACACACCCAAGCCTCAGCAAATAGCTGCTTGGGGTTCCCCTGTCAGAGAAGAAAGCAGAAACGAAATCCTTAAAATATGCTCATATTTTGGGGAAAACTCCTCTCGGCCCAGCAAGACTATTTCATCCTGGTATCTGTACACGTTGTTATTTTTTGGACTAATGTTTGTTGTAAGCTGGTGATGTCTGGGGGTGGGGGGGGGAGGTTGTGTACTTTCTAATATTCTTAAAACCTTAAAACCTCAAGCTGAGAAAACAGCAGGAAGCAAAGACGGCTGCCTGGACAAGAACACAGGGAGAGGAGAAGAGTCCATGAACGAGAACCAAGGCGGGAGGGGGGGGGGGGGGGAGTCCTTTTAAGGAGGATGCTGAGGATCTCTGCTCCCATGTGTTTGCTATGGGGCAGCCATGCTGAGAAAGTTGGCTGGAGATCAGCTGTACGGCTAATGTTTGCTGGTGGCTTACAGGACCTAGTCTAAACCAATCACGGCAACCGATTAGCCAAGGATAACAGTCACTACTGCAGAGCTCCCCCCTCTCCCCGCAGTCATCGAGTGCAGAGACACGGCCCAGCATCTGGCAGGTAGCTCAGCAGCTACTGGCTTCACAGCTGCCTTTCAGGCATCCACACCACAAACCGTGGGGTGAACGTGCCACCAGTCCACAGCCAGTGCTGATGAGGGACATCTGGAGACGCGTGAAGCTGTCAGCTCTGCCTTGATCTCTAACATGAGAAGCGCAGGCAGTAAGATATCATACGCAGGTTCATTCGGAAATGCTGCTCTGGAGTCAGCAAACAGAGATCGCATTTTAAATCGCATCGCTGCTTACGCTGATTTTACTTAATAACACATCCCATGGTTTACTTAAATAGATGATTTCCCTAAATGCGCCTCCCCAAAGGTAAAATTACTGTGGCTTAAGAAAGCACTATAAAGCTATAAAATAGTTATATTTTTAGGGGGAAGGAATTTCAGAATTACAGAAATGCTAAACCTAACATAACATGCAGCCAATTAATGAACGCAGAAAAAGCAATTTTACTGGTTGGCTTCTTATCATATATGGACCTAGTTTTATAGACCTTCACTTTCATTTCCCAACAGGCCCAGAGTGGCCAATCAGGAAACTCGATAGTCTTCCCGGTTGTGCCGCTTAGGTGTTGTGCCATTCAGAAACAAAACAATTTTACACGTTTAATATTCTACAAAAACGCTTCAGAATGTTAATCAGCAAGTCTTCACATGCACACATACACACACAAGCAATGGGCCACGATTGCTCTGCACAGAGAAACGTGCAAATACACGACACGCGTGTCGGTGTGGTCGCTCGTCCTTTATAACTGACTGAGCACAGTGCGTATCTGCAGAGGAGTCATAGCTAATCGCTCACTATGGCTAATGACTGGAAGGTTCTCAAACAATGGATGTTAGAAAGAGACCAGGTGGGGCTGAAAGAGTCAGACTGCTTCAACAGTTCAATATACTATTTATTATTTATTTTCTTCTTGAAATGAAAGTAAAAAAATTATCGGGATAATAAGACTTGACCTGTGGCTTCATTTATCAAAGTTCCCCCAGAACAAAGGTAAAATGGGCTGGTGTTGGGCAGAAAATTCCCACTCTGTTCCTCGTTTCTCACTGACAAAAATGTACTTTTTTTCAGATGCTGTCAACTGTCAGGAAGGCTTTCCGTTCTTAGGGGAGGAAGAGCAGGAAAAACTGGATGACTTACTGAAGAGCAGAACCTCTGCCCCCAGAATTAATTATGTTACAGACACCTGGTGGGAGGTATACACAAGTAAGGCACAAAGATCACATTTAACACTTTTTTTTATCATGATGGGATACTGCTGCTGTACCCTTTCGAAAGCCTTAAGGCTTCTTTAAAACATTAAGTTGAAATGTATAGATACCAGGGGGAAATTCTTGCACAATTCAGCAGCAAAGTAGAGCACAGATGAACATAAATGTGTAAAACGGTCAAAGTGCAATACACAGAGTGCAAACAAGTAAACCAGCATGCAAACGAAAAGTATGTGGTACTGTACACAAACAGAAATATCCAAAAAAATAGAATATTGATAAAATAAATATTTTGACATAAGAGTAATAGTAATGATAAATAATACATTTTAAAAGTGTAAGTCTGGGAAGATCTGGGGGATGAGAGAGTGAGCTTTCTTTAAGATGTGGGAGATGAGAGAGTGAGCTTTCTTTAAGATGTGGGAGATGAGAGAGTGAGCTTTCTTTAGGATGTGGGAGATGAGAGAGTGAGCTTTCTTTAAGGTCTGGGAGATGAGAGAGTGAGCTTTCTTTAAGGTCTGGGAGATGAGAGAGTGAACTTTCTTTAAGGTCTGAGAGATGAGAGAGTGAGCTTGCTTTAAGATGTGGGAGATGAGAGAGTGAGCTTGCTTTAAGATGTGGGAGATGAGAGAGTGAGCTTTCTTTAAGGTCTGGTAGATGAATGAGTGAGCTTTCTTTAAGGTCTGGTAGATGAATGAGTGAGCTTTCTTTAAGGTCTGGGAGATGAGAGAGTGAGCTTTATTTAAGGTCTGGGAGATGAGAGAGTGAGCGTTCTTTAAGGTCTGGGAGATGAGAGAGTGAGCTTTCTTTAATGTCTGGGAGATGAGAGAGTGAACTTTCTTTAAGATCTGGGAGATGAGAGAGTGAGCTTTCTTTAAGGTCTGGGGGATGAGTGAGTGAGCTTTCTTTAAGGTCTGGGAGATGAGAGAGTGAGCTTTCTTTAGGGTCTGGGAGATGAATGAGTGAGCTTTCTTTAAGGTCTGGGAGATGAGAGAGTGAACTTTCTTTAAGGTCTGATAGATGAATGAGTGAGCTTTCTTTAAGATCTGGGAGATGAGAGAGTGAGCTTTCTTAAAGGTCTGGGAGATGAGAGAGTGAGCTTTCTTTAAGGTCTGGAAGATGAGAGAGTGAGCTTTCTTTAATATCTGGGAGATGAGAGAGTGAGCTTTCTTTAAGATGTGGGAGATGAGAGAGTGAGCTTTCTTTAAGGTCTGGAAGATGAATGAGTGACTTTCTTTAAGGTCTGGTAGATGAATGAGTGACTTTCTTTAAGGTCTGGGGGATGAGAGAGTGAGCTTTCTTTAAGGTCTGGGGGATGAGAGAGTGAGCTTTCTTTAAATCGTTGAAGGAAAGGATGAGACTCGTGGCGACAACATTTTCACAGACCCGCCCGATGTCATCGAGATGGACTATTCGGATTACGAGAGTGTGACCAGCACCTACCGTCTTCACAAGGTAAAGGATGACAGATGCCCATCACCACCGCATACCAAACCATAAGCAACCGGTGGTCCATTTAAATGTAAGATTCTGCCACTGACAGTTAACTAATTAACTTAATTAGCTGGTTAAATTGATTGCATTATTTGATTGATTGATTTATTAGGTAATTCTATTCTCATATTTTTCATATGCGGTGATTTCATTTTCAGAACCAGGCTTGGGGACCGGCCAGTAGGATTACTGGGAGAATTCCTGGTGGTCTTGCCTGGCATTCAGAGCAGACCTTAAAATACTAAACTAACTAGTTGCTTCGCTGCAAAATGCACGTCCAGTATGACCACGCCCCACGTCTCTCAGTTTATGGTAGATTAATAATGCAGTTAATTTAGTTAAACAGCAAAATAATTATTGTTTACTTTAAATATTAACCTCAGCTCTGTAACACTATAATTATTATTATTTGTGGCATACAGTATATTATGGGAATGACCTTTACTGAAAAATGAAACGCTGTGTCTCGCGTTGAGCCAACACTTTTTTGGAACACCCCTCCCCCCCACGCCCCCCTGGTCTGGTTTTCAACTTTTTCTTTTTAATGCTGTGTGCTTGTGATTAATCTGGATCTGCTCAACGGTGATCTAATCCCTGCTTGGAATGTTGTCGCACCGCCAGCTGTAGTAATGCAATTTTTTTCTTTTCTGTAGGCCGAAATCCATTGTGTGGAGAAGGAGAAGATTAATAACAGGGATGCAGTTAAAATCACACTTAACCATGCATCTACCTGCGTGAGTCCCATGCTCGTTGCTCTCTTTTGTCTTTTGATCTGGGCAGCTTCACCAGGTAGCACTGTGACCTCTTACCTCTGTGGTTATGGGTTGGAATCCTGACTGCAGCTGCTTGTGTGGAGCTTGCATGTTACCCCTGGACTTCCTGCTTGGTGAAATGCTTCCTTTTAATGTGTGTGCGATTGCCTTTAGCTCGCATCTTCATCCTTGTTCACTGTGCCGACCTAGGATTCCAGGTTCACCATGACCCCTCATTGAATAAGCGGAGGGGTAATCCCAGTATTTCAAACATTATGTTTATAATGGCAAGAGAGCCAAGCGAAACAAAATCAGATATTATGATGGAGCTATTACAGTTTCAGAATGTGACAACTGAATATTGGACTGAAAATGTATCAAGAAAAACAGAATAATATATTTGAGGACAATGGAATATTCTGGAAGTTTATGGAAAAAACGACACCCAACACCCAACCTATAGTTGTTTGGGTGGACGGACGGACGGACGGACGGACGGACGGACAGATAGATAGAAGTCATATGAGTAGTCCTTCATACATGAAGTCATCTTCGAAGGAAATGTTGGAGATACTGTAGGGAATTCTGGGCAGAATGTGTATGTGCTTGAGCAGGCCCTCATTTCAATGAATTTGTGCCGTCTGTCCTTTTAGGCACAAACCAAAGTCAAGATTCTAAATGCCTTACCAGATATATGCAAAACCGACTGCAAGATCGAATTTTTCCAAGAAGAAAACTCCAAACAAGTAATCATGTCAGGCAAAACCATTGAAGGTTAGTTTTTGTTTGCACTTTTGGTCATTTTCACCTAATAATCTCCAGAATCATCTGATAAAAATGTGGATTTGTCTTAAATTACAGATGATGCACATGCTATGGCCATTATGCTCAACAAAGAAAAGGTCAAAAATAAGGTAGGCAGCCATTTTAACTGAGATTTTGCACAAAAGAAGCTTGTTCAACCCAGACAATGTTATTCAAGCATCCGGAGGGTTAATGCTCATTACACTGAACTTTGGTTGGGGTCCAGTGTCTTTGTCCAAAATGATGGTTCTGATTTGACAGTCGTAAATCACAGCTCTTACAGTATTTAGCATCCAGTCCAACTTCCCAGTTTCTCACAGATGAATGGCTGTCATCAGTGGCATATCAGCCTTGCTTTGGTGGCCATGTGGAATTTGAAGGCAATGTGTTTCCACTACAGTTCCTTGGCACTTTGTTAAAAATATCCAGAGGATGTTATACAAACAACATCACCGTAAGCATCACATAGTGGAATGCTAGACTGTGTCTTCCTATGCCCTTTAACCTATGCCCTATAACACTTTGCAGGCAACAAAAGCTGTTCTAATTCCATTTTGGTCCATTTAGCTGAAAACTCAAAGACTGTAGTAAGAGTTGTAGTTCTACTCAGGCTTGGATTGGATTTTAGATTTCACAATCTGAAAAATCTAAAACTTTCAGTTGTTTGAAAATTTTTGGATTGTTCTGTTCTCACTACACTTCTGATCACTGCTACTACTGATGATAAAACGAATAATTTCCCTGAGCTTGTGACTAAGCTTGTGACTGAATTTCATGTCCTGCAGAATAAATAGCATACTATCCAAGACCTACCTTGGCTGAGGAGTTTTGCCTCATTTTTCCACCCTCTGACTGGATCAATCATTCTTGAAAAGTGATGGATGTGTGCATAACCCCCACCACCCCCCCCATGCAGATGGACTTGAAGGAGGCGGTGCCTTATTGGACCAAGCACTCCCCCACAGTGCTGGTTTCCCTCCTCTTGGCCGGGCTACTGCTGGCGGCGCTTCTCATTGGTTGCTATGTCCTGAAGAACCACCGCGGGCACAGCGCCAAGGGCATGAAGCTGGTCAGTGTTCGTTCACAATAATGTGCAACAATGTTCATAACATGGAAGCGAAATGCAGTTTGTGTTATTCTCTGTTTGCATATGTGAGCTCCAAAGCATCCCAGCGCAACAGTGACACTCATGCTCTGACCCTGACTAATTCTTCATGCGACAAATTGTCTTTAATATTCTTGGGGAAGGCTCCAGCTGGATTTGAAACAGCGGTCGTCCACAGGCCAGCAATGGAGTCCCACGCTACCTCCACTCATGCAGTCTCAAATCATCAGGGCATATTACTTACTAGGCCAGTGTTTCCCAACCTGGTATAGTCCACATTTTTGCTCCCTTCCAGATCCCAGTAAATAAGGGAGCTGGGAGGGAGCAAAAACATGGATCATCTAGGGGTCTCTGAGGACCAGGTTGGGAATCACCATACTAGACAATCTCAACTGCTTCTTCTCTAGCCCTCCATTGGTCTTATATCATGACACAGGATATCAATAATTTTTTACATGACTAACTAATATATGAACTATTTTCAGGCTATTTCCACAACCGTGGTTTTAGGCAAAAGAAAATCTAATTTTGATCAATTGAATGACAAACCCACTACTTTTTCTCCTGAAAAAAACTGAAAAACCAATACTAGTAAATCCATCATATTTGCAATTCGATTCGTGATTCATCTTCTGATATGACGAAATGCTACTCTTATTTGCTGCAGGTAGTTGATTTTGTGATTAATACACTATGCTACAGCGCTCATAGAAAGTCTTGGGACATTTGCTTAATTCAGTAAAAAATTTGCTAATTTATTAATTTTATAACAGAAATCATTACTTTATTCATTTGTTGGAAAATTAGAAACAACCTGTAGTTTTAATTAAAACATTGATTTCAAGCAGTGATCATTTGAAACCCAAATTATAAATGAGTTAAAAAGTTCATTGTCAAGCAGTCCGATTGGTCACTTTTTAATTAGTGACACCTTTGAAATAACATAAAACACCAAACATCTGTGTTTATTGTCCCTATGGGAGTCAGTGATGGCAAATGCAATTAATAGCAGTATGACAAGAAATGAAGAACTGAATGAGTTGTCAAAAAACAATTGACAATAAAAACAAAATGTCTGTGTGGAAGATATGCGCGGATATGTTAAACATTGCTTGTCAATGGACTTTTGTTATGAAACCAATAGATTTGCAGCAATTTTTACCAAATTAAGCAGCCGTCCCAAGACTTTCAGTGAGTTCTGCATATTAGAGCTCTGCAGCATTTGCCTCAGCGTTCCAGCTGATCGGCGGCCAGTTGGCAGCAGGGAGGATTACCGCGATTTTCCTGGACCTGCTGTCACCAGTTGGCCACCTTTAGGCCACAAACACCCCAACCCACCGCATTTCATGAACAGGTTAAACCAAAAACAGGGTAAATCAATCCAGGTAAAGGCGCATGCTAAGCATTTAAATGCGCTAAACTGACGCCACCGCTAATTCAAACTTTGGCATGACATCATTGCTTTTTTGTGGATTCCCAAAGTGCTCTTTAATGCTGCCTTTCAGCAACAGCAATAATGAATATCTGTTCCTATCGCACGAGTAACTGGGAGTCCACGTTCGTGACGTGTGCGTGTGTGTCGACAGGCCGACGAGACCTTCCAGGTGGATGAGGAGAACCAGGGAAACACTCTGGTGTCTGTGGCCCCCCTGCAGCCACAGGAGCCCCAGGCCCCAAAGCCCAGCATCAACGGAGAGTCCCCTGATGGTGGAAAATGCCAGCCACCTCCTACCAATGGACACCAGACCGCCAAGTCCCCCATGGCCGACACAGAGCTGTGAGGACTGGCTGGATCGTGGCCAGATGTTTCGCCTCTCACCGCGGCCCCCCCTCCCAGAAAATAAACACACCCTCCTCAGGACACAAGAGACTAATATACACATACATACACACACCATCAGAGCAACCCACCTGCAGGTACAATGTGCAGGTACTAATCAGCAGCTGTGGGTCTCGACCTGTAGGAGGCGCTGTCGTCAGTATTGAACCAGCAGAGGCATTGCATCTGGCCTTGCTATAAACATGAATGGCTCTGATTATTAAAAGCTAACATCTGTGATGATAATGATAGCCAACCCCATTCCATTAATAACAGCAAAGAAATTGTAATCCCTCACACTTCTTAAAGTTGTATATTTGTTTCCAAAGTACGTTACAAATTTTCATATTCAAGTCATCTTCTCTATTAGCTTCCTTTCTCGTTATCCATTTACATCATTCTAATAGTTACATAAGTAAAGATGCTGGTTTTCTGTTCTTTGTTTCTATACTTCATTGATCATTAATAAACCACCAGGAGTCATCTGGCAATATCTGGCGGATCTTATATTGCCAATGAAAACAAAACTCGGGGGAAATCTGTCCAATTGAAATAAAAAATGAATTTGTGTGCGAAAAGGACAAATGTTTAAATGTTGTTTCGTCAGTCCTGGATATAGTGGTGTACCTACAATCATTGATTGGGGGCATAACGGCCGGGTTACTCCTGGAATTTGAGCAACCATCAGAATTTTACTACCCTTAAGCACTGTGCCATGTGAGAGCTAAATAAAACTCCTTCGCTGCAAGAATGCCTGATACTGTATCAACTAATGTCCTTATTGAAAAGAATGACAATTGACTAAAAAAGGCAGTTAGCATATTCCACCATTTTCATTGGCTACCGTACTCACGTGTCTGTCATGTGGTCTAATGAGAGCTGGAACAGACAAAATGGCTGCACTCTGTAATTCAGCTTGTAATGCCTGGTCGTTCACTAATAGTGTTAATATGCATATGGAATCCAGAGTGTCGAGTTCTTAACAGGAACCCAGTTTTCCTAGTCTGCAAGGATCAAGGTGACCGCACGAGTGTCATGCAGGAAGAGCGTAGTGTTCGTATGCACAGTGAAATTGGGACACCCCAGGTATGGCTTTCAGCTTTAAGTAGACACTTGGATTTTAAGTAAAGGGACGTCCTCACACTGAGTCCTGACGAATCTCCTCGAGATTTTAAACCAGGCCGCATCTTCAAACACTTCATATGTCCCTGTAGCCCCATAAATAGGACTGATCCCCCATCAGTATAATCAGTGTAAGGAGCAGCTGCTAATAAAGGTTCTCTGATCTGAAAGCAGAAGCTAAACCCTGTCCTGTGCCTTAGGTGGACCTCGGAGCAGCTCTGAAGCTCACAGCATGCTCTGCCCCTCACTTAACAGTTGGCTGTGCCAATAGGCAAAGCAGCACAACTTCAAACACTCACAGTCACGTGGACCAATCCCATGGCCACTGCTCTCCTTGTTATAACCACTGTTTTGCCAGTAGAGACTTTATTAATCCATGGAATTTTACCAGCATCACACCAGCTTCGTCTCACTAATAATAGTAGAGATATTTCAGTATCACATTACGGTTTTTGATTAAATTGCCTGTTTATCCACACTAATGATTACCTAAAATTTTTAAAATTCTTCTTCTTTTATATATGCTGACTGCTTGCTGCAAATGAGTTGAAATGACTGATGAGCAAGGAGGAGCCGTTATTTTTATGTTGCATTTATATGAATATTGAGTCTTCATTTCCTTGTCCATTCTGTTCAGTTTGGCTTGACTAAATGGTCTTCTGACCCCTTGTTGTTCTTCTTTCCCGTGTTTATGAGCACAGCATACAGACAGCATTGAGAGGTTGGGTTACTGTGCTGCTAAGTATTACTATGAATAAGGTTTCATTCTTGGTGCCAAATTTATTGATTCCAGAATCCCGGAGACAGGCCACTTTCCTGGAATCATGTCATTACAATGTTTCTGTTACAGCAAATTTTCAGAAATTTTACAGAAAATGCTGCTGTAAACAAAAGATAACCAGCCAGCAGCCATTTTGTGAGCTTCAGGGTACAGGAACCATAATGACATCATTTCACAGAAGAATGGTCCATTTTTCTGTTTGCATTAGTATTTGTGTCCTAGGCAGGAACAGCTCAAAGTTTACATGATTAAGTCTAAGAAGTTGTGTTGTGTGGGACGAGGACTAAATCCTGACATTCCCTTCTTGCCTTATGAGAACGAGTCAAATCAGCTCTAATTGGCTCCCAAACACAAGCAGACCTGACTGATATGGACAGTGATCTCCTGGGCTGCAGGACCCAATTTTGTTCATCAATGATATTCCCACGACTTTGTTTCTACCAATATGGAGCCCTGACGATTTTAAAAGCCACACCCATTTAAACGCAAACAGAGCCAATACATGTCTCCAATTTTCTTAGGCAATAAACTTCCATTAGTTAGGCAGACTCACACAGAACGTCCTAAACAAAAATGATGATTAGATGCAGCAGGAGAACCTCAAACTCTAGGCACGAGAACACATATCCATGCCCTGAAGCTGCATCAAGCCAGCATAGCTGCGTCTCCTTTTTTTGTAATGCGTGCAAAGCATGATTAAGTTTGTTTGTAAAGATATGTCCATTACTGCTATTACCATTCTACTCAGCCATCTTTCATAACAACTCACCCAGTACAGGGCTGGCAGGGAATTGCATCTGCAATCTGTGTCACTGAGCACCTCTGTGTGGTGCTGAAGGTTCTGCAGAACGTGGCTATGGTGTCTGCCAGGACAGCTGACCTTCAGGCTCTGAACACACACACACACACACACACACACACACACACAGCACAGAAAGACCATAACCACTAACATCAGAATTATATCATTCCTTACTCAATCTATATTCTAACCACTTACCTTGATTAAAACAGAGGGAGGGGTATAGAAACAGAGGGTACAAGCAGAGGAATGTCCTCGATGCCAGTCAATTGCAGGGCTTATTCACACATTGTGTGAAATTTGGAGACACCAGTTTACCAGCTGAATATCACTGAATTGTGAAGAGTATCTCCACACGGCATAGAGCGAACAAGCAAAGTTGACAGATGCAGTGTAGGGGTCATTTGAAACCACACCTGTAAATTGTGAAGTAATATCACTACCCATAGATCCATTAGGCCACTTGTTATTAATGATGTTGTTGCAAAACATATTGACATCACTGTAACGCCACACACAGTATAAAGATCTACATTCAGCTTTAATTTGGGGAGAGAGCACAGTAAGTCCGCTTTTGTAGCAGAAAATAATTTCCAGGCTTCGCTTTCCATAGTAAAAACTCTGGCAATGGCTTCCTCAGCATCTGTTCTGCATGACATAATGCCTTTTATATTCACTTGGTGCTCCAAGCCAGTTAGAGAATCAATAAACCTCAGCTCTTTAAGCCCGCACATCTTGTAATCAACTAATAATTAATGCAATTTACTAACTCACTGAATGATAGGGCACTTGTTCAGATCCGACTGCCTGATTTTCCCATCTATTGTGTCAGGATCAGTCCTCTTCTGTATGTCAGTTCCCTATTTGGCCAGCAGGTGTCGCTGGCCATTCCATTTGGTCATACCTCCTAATGTGTTCTCCTGTTCCCCAGTCCACTGTATGGCTTAGTGGACGGAGTGGACCTTTGTTGCAGGTTCTATGTCTATAATTAAACATTTGTTTTTTTGTATATCCCTGGTTAGTTACGTATTGGTGTATTTCTGTTACAGTTCCTTGATTTTGCTCCCTGTTGTCTTTCCCAAGTTGTAGTAATGTTATGGTACCCTTGTTTTTAGTTTTTCCTAGTGTTTGAGTCTGTAGTGATTATTGGTTACTCTTACTTGTTACTTGTTAATCACTGTCCTTAGTGTTCTGGTTGATTTAATAATAGCCCTCACCTGTGCCTTGATGAAGCTCCCATTATTTGTGAATTTAAGTGCCTGCCCTTCCTTTGTTTCTCAATCGTTGCATTAGTTCTGTTTGCTGTAAGTTCCGTGCATTTGATTCCTGCATGTTGCCTGTATTTCCTGCATTTGTTCCTGCACGTTTCTTACCTGTGGTTCCACGTGTTCCGTTTATCCTGTTGCATTCTAGTTTTTCCCTGGCTTTGTTTTGACCCCTTCTGGTCCCTTCATTTCTTGTTTGTCAGTTCCAATAAAACCCCTTGTCTACAAGCGGCTCTGTCGATTGTCCCTTCTGTCATTCGCCGCCATAACATACTGATCATATCGTCTATTGGGTCACCAATCCTCTCTGGCCATCGATGGGTGATCTATAGTTTCAAAACCCACAGTAGGTGTTGTTATCATATGCTGTCTGTCACCAACCAGCTTAACCTGCTCATAATTTCATTAAAACCAGTGGCCTGTACTACGAAGTGGGGTTACTGGCTTATCGGGGTAACTTGTCGGATTTAAGGTACCACAGTTTAAATGGACTTCATATTGGTTCACTTACATTTTGCCCAGACTACCTTAAATCCGACAACTTTCCCCGATAAGCCAGTAACCCCGCTTCGTAGTACAGGCCCCAGTTTGCGATTGATGGTATACTTTGATACCACGCACTATGAGTTTTCTTACCCTTGTTTCTCCATGTCCCTCATATCCTCAGTCCACACTTATCTGCATCACCTCCATGCCTGCCTCAGCTAATCCAGGGCTTGGTGATTGGTGAATTAATTTAGTCAAAATATCCAGTTGCACACAATACATATATAACAGCTGGGGTTACCTAAGCAAAGAACATCTTTCATCTCAAAGAAGGTCAGACAGCTCCATAACTGTAACCTTCTTGAGTTGCCCAAGAGGAAACATCTTCAAATAGCACACAAGCTTGTCATCATTACGGCCATGTGACAGCAGTATGACTAGACCGCACTAAATCAGCCCAACGTTTCAAGTATAAACCTAAAGGCAAATTGACCCTGTTAAGCATGGTTTACGTCCTGTTTCAGTAATGGTGAAGCAGCAGCATTCAAAAAATTCTGATGAAAATAACAAATTAGTAAATAACCGGTGGTAGTACGACTTGCGCGATTACTACAATGTGTAAAGGGGCCGAAAAAAACCATTGCATAACTTTTGACTTCCTGCCATCCCAGGCTCCCCGTATTTCTTTCCTGGCCTTTACCATCACCACGGGAGGGATGAGACATCGCGCTTCATGAGTCACAGCGGGCAATGCCTGCTTGCCAGCTTCACCAGGCATGAGTCATGGCACTGATGGTGACTAAAAACCAGACCCTGGCTCGGCGTCTGTCCTTCTGAAGGGCAAAATGCCCCCTTCCTCGCTTTAGCACTGGGGCAGAGTGTAACTCAGCAGGTTAGGAATATGAGACAGTGTCTGAAAGGGCACAAGTTCAAATCCTGTAGCTGGCAGAATAATTGAATCAACATTGGGCCCTTGAGAAAGGCCCTTAAGCTCAGTTGCCCCAGGGACACTGAGTATGTTGAACTCCAAGCTTTCCTCACTCGTCCTCGAAGGCCTGCTAACAAATGGATGGCTGGACGCATGTTAATCACTCGCAATAACAAGAGAAAGATAAGTAGGTA